CTATCAGCTAAATGCTGAGAAAAAATAAAGAGAAAGGCATTTGCATGTCCATTTTTGTTAATATCTTCTCTTGAAACCTGAAGTCACCCATTGTGAAAAGTTGATTGGAAAGAAACACTGGAAACCATTAGGGATGGCGGCCAAGCGAGGACCCTTATCTCCCCAGGACCTGCACAGAGTTCCTTGAGTCTGGATCCAAAACACCCGTTACCCCCTGACCCTGTGCAGCAGGGCTGGTAACACAGAGCCCTCAGGATCTGGACACCTTGGCCGACTGTGCTGTCCTCCCAGGACCACCCGACTGTCCAAGAACCCCCTCCCTAGAGCACTCATGGATGGCTGGGGGTTGGAAGCAGCTGAACTCTAAAACTCTCCATGCTGTCCTTGACTCCACAGAAAAAACCTAAGGATCTCGAGTCTGTTTGTGTACAGCTCATGATCACAGAGTACAGCTCTGCGGCCACACGCTGCTGTCCAGCCTGCTTGGCGTCCTACATGGATTCTTGCCTCGCCACATGCTTGGATGGCCCGGGGTGGGGCCAGTCTTCCGTGGGAGGGCCGTGCATTTCAGTTGGCTTTCGCTTCTCTGGGGCTGAACTGGCTTCCCTGGGACACTTGACATCGTGCAACAGTAGCGCCTGGATTGGGGGCGGTGGCTCCTCCCACAGAGCGGTGGGCCTTAAGGAGCTGGATTCTTACTCCATATCGTGGGACTGGTGTCCAGGTGGGTCACCGAGCATGTGAGAGGAAGCCAAATGCCTTGTGCTCCCCTCCAACCCCCGCCCCGCTTACAGGCTCAGCAGAGCCCTGGCCCCACTGCTCCGACCTCGGTCCTTCACTGTGTCCACTGGGTCTCAATAGCCACCCCTGTAACACACTGGGAATGTCTTGTACTGGAGTCCACCCTGTAGGATGGGGTTTAACCACCAGATTCATGGCTTGACAGCCACCACCGGGACCTTTCCACTCTGCAGCTCTGCTCCTTCCGGATGCCCAGAGCAATGCCATGGACAGATTGCCTTGGAAATAAGGAAAGTGTTTAAAGAGGCACTGTTTATTTCCTCCAGGGAATGTGATAGAAGAGTAACTTTCTTAGGACAGATAACCACTGAGTTTTTTTCCAGGTAAACATGGGCTGAATTTAAGTGTACCAGACGACATGTTAATTAGCCAAAAAATGCTATTAATACACAATGCTTCTATTTTTTTGTAATCTTGTTTCAAAACGTAAAAAAAAAAATGTCTACTGATCAATAAACTACTGAAAAAAATCACTTTTCCCATTGGCTCTGGTTTTTCAATGACTGTGTGCCAGTTGTCTTGAAAATAAAGCAGGCATCCCTTAGAACCATTCTGAAACAAGGCAGAGGCGTTAAGGGATGGGCATGCCCCTTGGCACACCATCCCTGTGACCCTTGTCTCTTTCTGCATGTTCTCTAGGTGGGAGATGGGGGCTTCTTCAGCAGGAAAGCAGCTCCATCTGATGTGGGCAGAGGCCAAGTCTGAGAGCAGGCACCGAAGGAAGTTTATGCCCCAACCAAGAGTGACTGGAAGCCAAGACTGGAAGGGACCATTGAGGAGACTCTTCTGAGGCTGGGGACGGGGCGTCACTGAGCACTCACAGGAGATGGCCTCTAGCACTGAGGCTGGCCGGACACCTGAGGGTGCCATGGTGCTAGGATACAACCCCTGGCTGGCTGGCACTGCTCCTACCTCTTGCCATGCCTCGCAGGTGCAGAGCACCCATAGTAGACATCTGGAGTTTTCACACTGGCTCCCACCTACCCTTTTAGTGATCCAGACCTGGAATTTCCTTTTGCAGGCCACTCTCTACTTCCCCACCGTCAAACTGAATGGTGAAGTTTGGGGAGACAGATCCCACTCCTTTCCAGGATGGATCCTGATTGGCTGAGCCAATTAGAGTACTTCATCCACCTGGTCACAGAAATGGTTCAGAAATTGACATGTGATTATGAGAGGTCCCTCAGACTTCTGTTCCAACTCTCAGGAAGATGTTCTCTTTTCTAAACCATGCAGTTCAAAGAAGTGAGCCTACTGGTACAACAATATAAATAGCTTTGAAAGAAGTGCCCAGTGGTGCTGGCAGATTGAGGCTGGCAGCAACTACCCCATGGAGCATGAAGATGAAGGAGGCATTGAGAAAGGCAAAGGAAATCCAAACCTGTGGTGGCATCATTTGAGCTGCTGGATCAAACCTCACCTAAAGTCCTCCTGCCAGACTTTCCAGTTACATGGACCAATATGTTCTGTTTATATTGTTTAAACCCATTTGACTTGAAACTTCAGTTACTTGTAGCATAAACATTCCAAATTTGTATGACCAACAGGATTCTCACCATGGGTTGCAGTCAGTCACAGCCTAGGAGAAGCTGGTCCTGGTATCATGTACAGTACGCTTTATTATAGTTGAACTTGGGGAAAAAGAAGAGCAGTTTCCTAACAACCTACCCAACAACCTCAAGTACAACCGCCTCTGTTGAGATAAGTGTGCAAAGGGCCAAGCAGCTCCATCCTGTCCTCTGGGGCTCACATCACATGGGACACCTGGGCCAAGGCTCTTGATGGGAGGTGAAACAAACTTATAGAGGTAGGAGGAAGGGGAACTTCCTAGAAGGAAAGGAGTTCTTTTTTAATATCAAAAATTATAGTTGTACAATATTGAGAAATATAGGACAAAATACAATTATTGGAGAAAAATTGCTCTACAATATTGTGTTGGCCTTTGCCACACATCAACCCAAATCAGTCACAGGTAAACATGTCTCCTCCCTCCTGAAACCCATCCCACCCCTCTATGTTGAGCTGCGTTGAGCTCCCTGTTTTACACATAGTAATGTATGTGTTTTTATGCTAGAGTCTCGATTCGTCCCACACTCTCCTTCCCCTACTGTGTCTACAAATCTGTTCTCTATGTCTGCATCTCCCTTGCTGCCCTGCAAATAGGTTCATCAGTACCATCTTTCTAGATTCCATATACATGCATTAATATTTAATATTTGTTTTTTCTCTTTCTGTCTTACTTCACTTTGTATGATAGACTCTAAGTTCATCCACCTCATTAGGACTGACTCGGATGTGTTCTTTTTACAGCTGAGTAATATGTATGTACTACAATTTCTGTATCCATTCATCTGTTGGTGGGCATCTAGGTTCCTTCCATGTCCTTGCTATTGTAAAAAGTGCCGCAACAAACATTGGAGTACATGTGTCTCTCAATTATGATTTTCTCAGAGTGTATGCCCAGTAGTGGGGTTGTTAGATCACATGGTAGTTCTATTCCTAGTTTGTTTGTTTTTTTTTATTCCTAGTTTTTTAAGGAATCTCCATACTGTTCTCTATAGTGGCTGTGTCAACTTACATTCCCACCAACTGTGCAGGAGAGTTCTCTCTTCTCCACATCCACTTCCAGCATTTATTGTTTGTAGATTTTTTTTAATGATAGCCATTCTGACAGGTGTGGCAGTGATTCCCCATTGTACTTTTGATTTGCATTTCTCTAATGATGAGTGATGCTGAGCATTTTTCATGGGTTTGTTGGCTATAGGAAAGGTTTTTAACTGGGGCTGATAAGAGACTGTGGGTGATGGGGTGCAGAAGAGACATTCTAAGCTGAGAGAAGAACGGATGCTCAGATGTGAGCAGGTAGCTGTGGTCCCCACCTGGCAATGGGGAGTCTTGCTCTGTGAAGGCATGGTGGGCTGGGCGTAGGCTGACAGGGAGACAGGGTGCTGAGCTGGGGACAGTGATGAGGACCTGCAGGGGCAGTGGGAGTAATCGGGTGGGGGGTGCCCTGTGGAGTGCCCATTGGTGGGGCACAGCAGTGACGGCTGTTGGTGCCTGACTGGACCTGGGGCTGCGGGCAAGGAGGAAGCTCAGGTTCATCCCAAGTGCCGGGAAGCCAATCAGTGTCAGGAGGGACCTCCCAGGGAGAGGACAACAGGGGCAGGGGCTCCTTTGGATACAGGGGATCTGCCCCCCACCCAAGGGCAGCATGCCCCTCACTCCCAGCCACAGGCCGAGATTCAGGTGTAATGGATCCCACCCAGCTCTGAAGGGCAGGCTCTGGCCACTGCCCCTCTCACTGGCCTGGACTGTGAGGGATGCCTCCCTCAGGATGGTTGCTGGGCTTCGGGGTGGATGAACCTAGGTACACAGCCTAGCCCCATGACTGTAAGCAGACAGTCCTGTGAAGCCCCCTGAATTAGAACTTGCTCTCCTTGTGTCATGCAGTCCACGGTTGCAGCGGGGCCGGGGGTGGGGGGGCTGTTGGAGAGAGGGGCTGGCTGGCTCCCGCACAGCCCTGCTTCCGAGCCTCGGGCCCAGCCGGAGCACAGGTGCTGGGGCCCCAAAGAATGAACACTGTATCTCTGACTCTGGAGGAGATTCTTTCATTCCCACAGGCAGGCTTTGCGGGTGTGGGTTACCCCTTTTCAGGGGGAGCCCCCTTCAGAAAGCAGCCCCCAGGTGGAAGGGACCAAGTCATGCAGCCATGGTCTGGGTTGGGTGTGTTTCCATCAAGCCTGGAAAGCCCAGCCCTGATCCAGTGCTTCCCTGTGGTCTATGGTGAGTTCCCCCAGGAGAGGGTGTGAGGGCTGTGGCCCCATGGGCTCACTCCCATCTCAGGCCCTGCAGGTGCTCACAGACCCTTGATGGGGTGCAGAAGGGCAGCCTCAGCCTGGGGTGTGGGTGCAGAGGCTCTAACCAGAGGCTCTTGAACCCAGACTGCAGCTCCCCCATGGAGCTCCCACCCGAAGCCAAATCGAGACCATCCCATGGGACTCTTGTGTCTTGGGCACCAGGACTCAACCCGATCCTGAAGGCCTTGGCAGCAGAGAGATGATGAAGGAGGAGACCCTGGAGCATCGATCTGGAGCATTCTTGAGCCGCCCCCTCCAGGCCCGGGCCACGCCCTGTGGCAGGTGGGAGGACAATGCCAGCTGTGTGCCGTCACCCTGCCTTGCCAGCCCAAGAGGAGGGCCATGGCGCTACCCCAGCCTCAGCCTCTCTTGATGTCTCTCCCTCCCCGCCCAGCCCCTGCTATCTGCCATCTCCAACGGTTCAGCCAGGTCTCCTCTCAGGACATCAACAAGGTGAGCAGTTTCTTTCTTCCTTCCACCTGCCCTATTCATCCCGAGCAGCAGCAGCCAAATGCTGTGGCCCAGGGGAAACCTCTGGCAGCAGGAGCTCTAGAAGAAGAATCTGGAAAAGAGGGTGGGCCACTCAAGTGTAGGGCACCAGCCAGGAGCCCAAGACCTTACCTGGCTAGATCCCAAGCTGCAACCACCCACCCCACGTGGGGCAGTCTGGCAGGGAGGGGTCCCCTGTTCCAGGGAGTCATCAGAATCCACCTTCCTCCCCCAGCCTCTAGGCCCCCAATGTCTCCAGCTTAGGGAAATAACCAGTGGCTCCTCATCCCCAAAGGGCTCCGGGCCTGCTGGCCAGTGAGCGCCACAGCCCCCAGCAGTTCCTTGGCACTACAGAGCACCTGAAGCAGGAGTCCAGCACCTCTCACTGGCCTGGACTGTGAGGGATGCCTCCCTCAGGATGGTTGCTGGGCTTCGGGGTGGATGAACCTAGGTACACAGCCTAGCCCCATGACTGTAAGCAGACAGTCCTGTGAAGCCCCCTGAATTAGAACTTGCTCTCCTTGTGTCATGCAGTCCACGGTTGCAGCGGGGCCGGGGGTGGGGGGGCTGTTGGAGAGAGGGGCTGGCTGGCTCCCGCACAGCCCTGCTTCCGAACCTCAGGCCCAGCCGGAGCACAGGTGCTGGGGCCCCAAAGAATGAACACTGTATCTCTGACTCTGGAGGAGATTCTTTCATTCCCACAGGCAGGCTTTGCGGGTGTGGGTTACCCCTTTTCAGGGGGAGCCCCCTTCAGAAAGCAGCCCCCAGGTGGAAGGGACCAAGTCATGCAGCCATGGTCTGGGTTGGGTGTGTTTCCATCAAGCCTGGAAAGCCCAGCCCTGATCCAGTGCTTCCCTGTGGTCTATGGTGAGTTCCCCCAGGAGAGGGTGTGAGGGCTGTGGCCCCATGGGCTCACTCCCATCTCAGGCCCTGCAGGTGCTCACAGACCCTTGATGGGGTGCAGAAGGGCAGCCTCAGCCTGGGGTGTGGGTGCAGAGGCTCTAACCAGAGGCTCTTGAACCCAGACTGCAGCTCCCCCATGGAGCTCCCACCCGAAGCCAAATCGAGACCATCCCATGGGACTCTTGTGTCTTGGGCACCAGGACTCAACCCGATCCTGAAGGCCTTGGCAGCAGAGAGATGATGAAGGAGGAGACCCTGGAGCATCGATCTGGAGCATTCTTGAGCCGCCCCCTCCAGGCCCGGGCCACGCCCTGTGGCAGGTGGGAGGACAATGCCAGCTGTGTGCCGTCACCCTGCCTTGCCAGCCCAAGAGGAGGGCCATGGCGCTACCCCAGCCTCAGCCTCTCTTGATGTCTCTCCCTCCCCGCCCAGCCCCTGCTATCTGCCATCTCCAACGGTTCAGCCAGGTCTCCTCTCAGGACATCAACAAGGTGAGCAGTTTCTTTCTTCCTTCCACCTGCCCTATTCATCCCGAGCAGCAGCAGCCAAATGCTGTGGCCCAGGGGAAACCTCTGGCAGCAGGAGCTCTAGAAGAAGAATCTGGAAAAGAGGGTGGGCCACTCAAGTGTAGGGCACCAGCCAGGAGCCCAAGACCTTACCTGGCTAGATCCCAAGCTGCAACCACCCACCCCACGTGGGGCAGTCTGGCAGGGAGGGGTCCCCTGTTCCAGGGAGTCATCAGAATCCACCTTCCTCCCCCAGCCTCTAGGCCCCCAATGTCTCCAGCTTAGGGAAATAACCAGTGGCTCCTCATCCCCAAAGGGCTCCGGGCCTGCTGGCCAGTGAGCGCCACAGCCCCCAGCAGTTCCTTGGCACTACAGAGCACCTGAAGCAGGAGTCCAGCCGCAGACCTCAGGCTGGCTCTCCCGGTCCAGTCCCACCATGGACTCTGCGTACGAGACGGGCCACATCCGCAAGCTGCAGGCACGGCACATGCAGATGCAGGAGAAGACCTTCACCAAGTGGATCAACAATATCTTCCAGCACGCCCGGGTGAGTGCAGCTGGGCCCGCCCCACAGCTGCCTCCACTGTGCCCCCAGCTCCCCGGCAGGTGGACCCAGGGGGCCGACTTGAGCCCAGCTGGCTAAGGCCAGTGCTCCTTCCTCCAGGCTGGTGCTCTAGGTTTCACCACCCAGGTCCTGGGATGGAGCAGACAGGAGAGGCTGGGCTGACCCTGTGCCTGTTCCTCATCCCCTCCCAGGTGGGCATCGAGATCCAGAACCTGTGCGCAGAGCTGGCTGACGGCACCCACCTGCTGCGGCTGCTGGAGCTCATCTCAGGGGAGGCCCTGCCACCCCCCAACCGGGGCCGCATGCGGGTCCATTTTCTGGAGAACAGCAGCCGAGCTCTGGCCTTCCTCAGGGCCAAGGTGGGCGCTGGGGAGAAGGCTCCTGGGCGCGGTGCTGGGGTGGGCGGTGGGGACAGGCCGGATGACCGGATCATCTTTCCTGGGCTGGCCACAGGGCCGAGCAGAGGGTCTGGAGCCGGAATCCAGGAGGAGCAGCTGGGATACAGAGTCCAGGAAGCAAAGCCCTACTTTGCACAGTTCACCCGGCTTAGAGGGCACCCACCCGGCTGGAGCTGGAACAACCATTGTCCCCAGTGGGCGGGAATGAAATCTGCCTTTGCCTACAGTGAGAGATTGTGGAGTCTAAGTTGAAAGATTCAGTACACTCTTAACCTTCTCTTTTCATAAAAGAGGAAAATATTTTCCAGGCAAGGCCCATGAGCAGCTGGTCAGCAGATCTTGGATGTGGGGGTCAGACACAGGGGAAGAGCCTCAGACACTACTGAGCCAGGCAGGGAAGGGAGGTGGTGTAGGGCTGCCTGGGAGAAGCTGGAATAGACAGCCGGGAGGGGCCTCCGCAAACAGGAGGGATCCTGAGAGGAAGGGACAGCCCCAGAGAAGTCGTCTCTAAAAGGAGAGGAGAGCTCCAGAAACAGGGATCCTCATGGCCCATGTCGGGGGGCTGTGCAGAGGTCATTTAAATTAAGAAGCAGGAATTGGGAAGCCTGGAGGCTCTTGGCTTCAGGTACTGGAGCATGAGATGGCTGAGCCTGGAGGATGTGAAGTTACAGCTGAAACTGGCTAGGCTGAGCCTGAGTCCTGGGATGTGGGTCACAGGCAGCCCCTTGGGACCCTAGCATGCTGGAGCGAGGCCAGGAAGGTGAGAGGCCAGAGCAAGGGATGGAGCACTGTGGTCCCTAGACTCATGGAAGAACAGAAAGCTGCCAGCCACACAATGCAAGCCCACACTACTTGGTCCCAGGGCCAATGGCCTGTGAGCCAATCACCTCCTCTCTAGAACCTCAGAAAGGTGCAAGTCCTGTAGCCCTTGTCAGAAGCTACTCAGCACCCTTCAAGCTCAAAGACATAATGTGTCACAGATACGTAGCCTATGAAGGTGACAGCCTTGTCTCCACTATCGCTTGGAAAGCCTGGGCTTGCCTGGCCTTGGGCCTGCCGGCTTCTCACCTGGGGACCTCCTGGGTCAGGACAGACAGAACCCCTCCCATCCGGCAGCCAACCCTTTGGTTACTATGAGTCTTCTCTAGTACATGGGCATTGTGGCTGAGGTCAGAAAAATATGCCCACAGGTGCCAATACCCCTCATTGGGCCAGAGAACATCGTGGATGGAGACCAGACGCTCATCCTGGGACTCATCTGGGTCATCATTCTGCGTTTCCAGATTTCCCACATCTGCCTGGACAGGGTATGTCTCAGCCCCTGCGCCCAGCTGCCCAGCCCAGCCCAGCCCTGGCCTCCCCTCAGGGTCCTGAGGACAGAGCAGTTCCACCTGACCGTTAGGATGCCCACAGCGGATCCTCAGCATCCACACAACTTCTATTCACTCTTCAATCACAGGCAAAGGATTCAGAGTGTCAGAGAGGTTGTAATATGCTGAAGTAAGAGCTATTAATGGATTTATGGGCTTCAAGTTGGGTCTGGAACAAATCATTTACTAGTGAAGGGGGTCAAGGTGCCTGCCCACCACCTGCCTTTCACTGCTAATTTATTGTTTTCTACTTGCCACTGAATCCCTGTAACTTTCATTAACCCATAATGTACTATTGGGAGAAATAAAACATACAGGGAAAGCCCCAGCCCTGAAGGTTTCCAAATCCTCAGGATCCTGAAAACCAAAGGGATGGTTCCTCATCTTCCTCCATTCTACAACTGGGTCAGGAAGAGTGAACACATAAAAGTCCTTATATAAATGTTCATAGTTTCATGGTTTCCAAAACCCCACCAAAAACTCAATTCCAGTAGGTTAGGAAAACCAACTTGGAGCATGAAATCTTAAAGAAAAGAAGCCACAGATTTGGCTCAAATCCAGGAGGACCCTTGACACTCTTGATGGGATTGTGACCCCCCAGGAGAGCAGGGGCCTTGCCTGCCTGCATCCCCAGGGCCTAGCACCCATGTGGCTAATGAGTGGATGGATCAACTTCTAGCTGACCTCAAGCCCTTCCAGAAAGCCACGCTCCCCTCCCCACCCCCCTAAGCCAGCTCCAAGTGCCCCTGCCACCCCTTCCTCAGGGGCAGCAGGTCTACATTATCCCCTGACTGGCCACCAGCTGGCCAGCTGGCTCTCTCGTCTGCAGCCAACTCAGGCCTTTCTCCCTGCTAAACTCAGATGTGTCTGGGACCAGGCTGACCCCATGCCCATACATGCTCACCCCCAGAATCACTCCTGGCTCATGTCTGCCAGCCTAATCCAGCTGCTCAGGGTTTCTGGGCTGGCCTGGCTCTGGCAGAGCCCAGCTCCAGGCCCTAAACTCCTTCCCCTCCCCCCTTGCACTGCTACATACTGGTCCCTTCTATTCAAGCTCCCAGGCCCAGAGGATGGGGAAGGGAATATAACCTGCTGTGCTTTGATATTCTGAGCTTTGGGGTTTTTTTTTTTTGGAGTACAGTTGCTTTACAAGGTTGTATTATTGTACAGTGAAGCAGCTATATGTATACATATCTCCCCTCTTTTTTGGATTTCCTTCCCATTTAGGTCACCACAGAGCAGTGAGTAGAGTTCCCTGTGCTCACAGTAGGTTCTCATCAGTTATCTGTCTTATACATAGGAGCGTATATATGTCAATCCCAATCTCATTCTGAGTTTATAAACAGAAATTGGTGGAAGAATTGGAAGATGGGAGTTCAGTTCAGTCACTCAGTCATGTCCGACTCTTTGCATCCCCCTGGACCGCAGCATGCCAGGCCTCCCTGTCCATCACCAACTCCCAGAGCTTGCACAGACTCATGTCCCTCGAGTCGGTGATGCCATCCAACCATCTCATCCTCTGTCGTCCCCTTCTCCTCCTACCCTCAATCTTTCCCAGCATCAGGGTCTTTTCAAATGAGTCAGCTCTTCGCATCAGGTGGCCAAAGTACTGGGGCTTCAGCTTCAGCATCAGTCCCTCCAATGAACTCAGGGTTGGTTTCCTTTAAGATTGACTGGTTTGATCTCCTTGCAGTCCAAGGGACCCCGAAGAGTCTTCTCCAACACCACACTTCAAAAGCATCAATTTTTCGGTGCTCAGCTTTCTTTATAGTCCAACTCTTACATCCATACATGACTACTGGAAAAACCATAGNTGGAACTCTCTTGCTTTTTTGATGATCCAGAAGATGTTGGCAATTTGATATCTGGTTCCTCTGCCTTTTCTAAAAGCAACTTGAACATCTGGAAGTTTACGGTTCACGTATTGCTGAAACCTGGCTTGGAGAATTTTGAGCATTACTTTACTAGCGTGTGAGATGAGTGCAATTGTGTGGTGGTTTGAGCATTCTTTGGCATTGCCTTTCTTTGGGATTGGAATGCAAACTGACCTTTTCCAGTCCTGTGGCCACTGCTGAGTTTTCCAAATTTGCTGACATATTGAATGCAGCACTTTCACAGCATCATCTTTTAGGACTTGAAATAGCTCAACTGGAATTCCATCACATCCACTAGCTTTGTTGTAGTGATGTTTCCTAAGGCCCACCTGACTTCACATTCCAGTATGTCTGGCTCTAGGTGAGTGATGAAGAAGGGAGAAAAGGAGAGAAAGAAAGGAGAGAAAGAAAGGAGATGGGGATTCCAGGATGTGAGGGGCAAGGGAGGGGGTGGGTGGAAGGGGAGGACCATTGAGGGCAGGACAGGGACAAGGAACAGAAGGCAGGGAAAGAAGTGGAGCCCGGAAGGAGGAGGGAAAGCAGCACTGAGTAAAAGAGGGATGGGACGGGGGCACGGGAGGTGAGGGGGAATGTGCGGAAACCAAAAGCGGCAGAATGAGCGAGATTATCAAGGAGACAGAAACCAGTTGAAGATGGTCATTTCCCAGTCTGAAGAAGCCATTGTGTGAGCGAGGCCTTGTGAGGCAGATGGGCTCCACATGTCAGAGGTTTCTAGGTCAAGAGAGACCCTCCCCTAACAGCCAGAGAACCCCGGACAGTTTCCTGACCCCTCTTACTGCACCTCCTGTGCTTCCTTAGAATGTAACTACTAACAGTGCCTACCTCTGGGGGCTGTGCCAGCTGGAGAGCCACGTGTGCGGGCCTGGTGCCTGGCTGGCAGAAAGCCCATGGTGACCTGGAGTCGGTCTAGTGAAGCCCAGACTCAATTCCGTGTGGCCCAGGGTTGGTTAGCACAGTGCCTGGCCCAGCCGAAAGGCTGCAGAGGGATTTCCCTAGTGGTCCAGTGGCTAGGGCTCTGCCCTCCCAGTGCAGGGGTCATGGGTTCGATCCCCGGTCAGGGAACTAGATCCCATATGATACAACTAAGAATTCACATGCAAAAAAAAAAAAAAAAGAATTCACATGCTATAACTAAAGATCCCAAGTGCCACAACTGAGACCTGACGCAGCCAAATAAATAAATATTAAAAAAGAAAGGAAGGCCAAGAGAAATGGGAGCTACTGCGGCCATTGTCACCAATTGTGACTCAAAACCAGCTACTCAGAGGTGACAACTTTCAGAATGCCCCACTTCGTTGTAAGGACAATCTTTCTCTCGCACCCCCAATCCCTGCCCAGCACAAATAACAGCAAGTGCAGTCAGATGCTCTGAAGGACAGGCCATCCACACTGCCTCCAGGTGGGGGAGCAGGATCGCACTGTGCCCAGCCTGCTTCTCCCACAACTTGCGGCCTACCCCCATCCCCATCCCATCCCTGCATGGTGACCCACTGTCCTGTCCTTCCAGGAGGAGTTTGGTGTCAGCGCAGCCCTGCTGTCTGCCAAGGAAGCTCTGCTGGTCTGGTGCCAGCGGAAGACTGCCGGCTATGCCAACATCAACATCACGGACTTCTCCCGCAGCTGGAGTGATGGGCTCAGCTTCAGTGCCCTCATCCATGCCCACAGGTGGGCGTGTGGGAGAGGACCCAGCACCTCCTGCACTGGCTGGCCTGAGGCAGGCCTCTGCTTCCTTCTCAGAGGCCTTCTACCCTCTGAGCTAACTTCTCCAGGACTTGGGTCCTCCACCCACCCATTATCCCATATCCTTCTGGCCCCTTACACTGGGCACAGAAGTAAAGACACTGACCCTAAGTTCCTGGTCTGTGACACCCCTCCCCACTTCCATAGAACTAGCCAGGTTTGCCTTTGACCCCTGCTGCCTTCTACTCTCTGTGTCCCTGATTCTCTTTTCAGTCCTCTTTCTGGCAAGCACCTGTCCATTTTGGAGCTTCCCCCCACTACCCAGGAGGCTGAGCCCCAAGCAAAATTAACCCTCCCCTCTCCCAGTCCTATTCCTTCAACCAGGGCCTTAGGTCATCATCAGGGGCAAGTTAGTGCCCAGCAAGGTGGGAATGACCCTCTTAACAAGTCCACATAAAGCTGAGCAGTCCCTGACTCTGGTGAAGAGCTCTGCCTGCTCTCTGCCCAGGCCAGACCTGCTTGACTACAGCTCCCTGCGTCCCGACCGCCCACTGCACAACCTCCGCTGTGCTTTCCACGTAGCTGAGCAGGAGCTGGGCATTGCTCAGCTGCTGGATCCCGAGGACGTGGCAGCCCTACAGCCCGACGAGCGCTCCATCATGACCTACGTCTCCCTCTATTACCACCACTTCTCCCGCCTGCACCAGGAGCAGACCGTCCAGAGGAGACTCGTAAAGGTTGGGGACAGAGAGGGAAGGTGGCATTGCGGAGAGGTGGGGCAAACATGGGCTCCGGAGTCAGCACACCCTGTGACCTTTCCTCCATGTGTGACCTTGGCCACATCATCCAACCTTCCTGTGCTTCATCTGTAAAATGGGAATGATGATGCCTGGGTAATGCAATTAATTCTGGGTAACAGAAGGCTGCTGGGAGTGTTCAAGGAAGCATGAGCAGACTTCCCGGCATACAGGGAAGCCGGGTGAGCACCGCCTCTCCCTGACCCTCCACCCCCCCCCCTCGGCTCTTAGGTTGTTAAGCTCCTAATGGGATTAAAAGGCACAGAGAGCTGGACTCTGCAAGGACAAACACGGGGCAGCTCTGCTCGGCCAAGTCCATGTTTCTGGGGAGCTTTCTTACCCTCTGGGCACGATGGCAGAGGCTGAGACCTGGGAGGGCTGTTCTCAGGGTTGGTGTCTCAGCTGGGAGAGGGGAAGGTGATCCAGGCCAAAGGCCCTGAGTTGCTTTAGGGGTGTGGGGGCCTCAGGGAGGGAAAGAAGAGCACCTCCAGTGTTGAGGCCAAACGGGGTAAAATAAGATAGAGGAAGGCAGGACGGGAGCCCCACTCCCGGGTCTGAGTGTGGAATGGAAACAGACCTTGCTTCTCTGGGGGCTGGGAGCACCCCCACTTTAGCATATCCTCACCTAAGAGCAGGAGCTACTGTGTACCTAGGCAAGCCTGGCTGGCACTCAGCACCCAAAAGGGGAAGGCCTCCAGGACCTGGAAGCCAGGGTGTGCCCCCCAGGTGCTGGTCTGAGCCCTTCCCCATGCCCTCCACCAGATCCTGCATCAGCTGCGGGAGTCAGAGGCGCTGCAGATCCAGTACGAGGAGCTGGTGGCCGACCTGCTGTGCTGGATTGCAGAGAAGCAGGTGCAGCTGGAGGCGCGGGATTTCCCAGACAACCTGCCGGCCATGCGCCAGCTACTGGTGGCCTTTGCCTCCTTCCGCACCCAGGAGAAGCCACCGAGACTGCAGCAGCGAGGGGCCACGGAGGCCCTGCTCTTTCGGCTGCAGACAGCCCTCCGAGCCCAGAACCGCAGGCCCTTCCTGCCACCCGAGGGCCTGGGCCCTGCGGAGCTGTCCCGGCGCTGGGCAAGCCTGGAGCGGGCGGAGGCCTCACGGAGCCGGGCCCTGCAGCAGAGGCTCCTACAACTAGAGCGGTTGGAAACCCTGGCCCGGCGTTTCCAGCGTAAGGCAGCCCTCAGGGAGAGCTTCCTGACAGACACAGAGCAGGTGCTGGACCGGGCCGCAGCCCCGCCAGCCAGCCCGGCCATGGTGGAAGCGGCCGCCCAGAGGCTGGGCATGCTGGAGGCCAGTATCCTGCCCCAGGAGGGGCGCTTCCAGGCCCTGGCCGAGATTGCAGACATCCTCCAGCAGGAGCGCTACCACGGTGGGACAGAGGTGGCCAGCAGGTGAGCCCCGGGCATGGGACAGTCTTCAAAACAGGCTAAGGCCTTCCTACCATGAGGAGGTGGGGGTGATTTATTGATTTGGGGCTCCCTTTTAAAAGATCTGTATCTTGGGAATTCCCTGGCAGTCCAGTGTTTAGGACTTGGCGCTTTTGCTGTCAGAGCCCAGATTCCATCCCTAGTCAGAGAACTAAGATCTTGCAAGATGCGTGGCACAGCATAAATAAGTAAATAAAAAGATCTAGCTCCCACTATTGCCTAAAACTCCAACCTCTGTCATTGATCCCTTTGGTAAAGCTCTGTTCTTTCTAGATAGCCTCTTATTAATTTATTCACTAAAACTAAGCATTTATTGAGTGTCTACTATGTCCTAAGTACTGTTCTAGGTGTTGGAGATTTAGCAGTGAAAAGGGCAAACAAAAATCCCTCCCCTCATAGAGCTTACATGCTACTAAGGAAAACAGAAACATATACAGTCTGTGAGACAGTGATTTTAAAAGATAATAAAGCAGAATAGGGGAATATGAGGTACCAACGTGGGTAGAGGGAGTTATACTGAGTGGTCAGAGGAGGTTTACTTTTGAGCAAAGAGCACCGACTCAATAGACATGAGCTTTGGTAAACTCTGAGAGTTGGTGATAGACAGGGAGGCCTGGCGTGCTGCAGTCCATGGGATCACAGTCAGACACAACTGAGCAACTGAACTGAACTGAAAGAGCAGAAAGAAGTGAGAAACCATACAGATATGATGACGGACTATACTAGGGCAGTGTCCCAAAGGGGCACGTGGAAAATAACATGGAAGCCAAGTGAACAGGTTGTAGTTGAGGTCAGGGAGGCATGGAGGCCAGGGGTGGTGGCAGAGATCCTGCCAGACCCTGCAGGACACAGTAAAGACAGTTTTTACTCAGCAGAAGATAGGAAATCATGGCAGGACTTGAGCAGACAAGTCACACGGTCTAACTTTTATTTTACAGTGATCATTCTGGATGCCATGACAGGAGTAGACTGAAGGGACAAGGGCAGAAGCAGAGAGAACAGTCAGGAAGCTACTGCAGTAATCACTTAGAATAATAGAGAAGTGGAGATGATGAGAAATGGAGGGGTTCTGCATTTATTTTGAGTCCAGGGGAATTTGCAAACAGATAAGAAGTGGGATGTGAGAAAATGAGTCATCCAGTTCCTGGCCAGGGCACTGGGAAGGATGGAGTTGCGGTCACCTGTAATGAGGACTGGAAGGAAGGCTTGGGTGTCAGAGGAGGCCTGAACCTCACAGACTCTCCCTTCAGTTTTTCTGCCTGTTTCTAAAAGGCAGGGACACTGCCCCTACCACTCCAGGGTAAGATGCTCACAGCCCCAGCCACAGTACTCAGGTTCCTCTAGTACAGACAAGCCCCCCAACCACCAACTGTGAACCCCAAGCTTCCCTGCCATGGCCCAGTGAACACCACCCTTATTCTTACATCCCCCAGGCAGCTGGAGATCACCAGGCACTGGGAGCGGCTCCTCCAGCGGCTCCAAGGGCAGAGGAAGCAGATAGCAGGCATGCAGGCTGTGCTGAGCCTGCTGCAGGAGGTGGAGACTGCCTCTGACCAGCTCAACGAGCTTCAGGTAGGCCCTGGACCAGTGGACCCCTGGGAGAACATAGCAGCATGCGCCAGTCCTGGCACTCACAGCGACCCAGCACTCTGGGACGTTAATGACCACTCATCTGTCCCTGGCCAGATGCTGGTCAGCTCCACGGCCTGTGGGCAGAAGCTGGCAGAGGTAGAGGGGCTGCTGCAGAGGCATGACCTGCTGGAGGCCCAGATCTCAGTCCTTGGAGCCCACGTGAGCCATCTGGCCCACCAGACCATGAAGCTGGACTCTTCCACGGGCACTGCTGTGGAGGTGCTGCAGGCCAAGGCCAGGGCGCTGGCCCAGCTCTACCAGAGCCTCATGTCTCTTGCCAGGTCCCGGTAAGAGCCCACCCAAACTCCTCTGCCCTCTCCACAACTTTTCTGTAATCCAGATTACCTCCTGCCCAGGTTTAAACATGCTGCCTGGAGACTTCCTCTGCCCTGACCCTAGTCTCCTCTGTTGAGTGATCCAGGGACAGAAGTCCTGTCTAAGGGGAGGTATCTGGGCCTGATGGGGAATCCCTCCTTAAGCCGCATCACTGCCTGATTCCCTCTGTGGCCCTTGCCATCCCTCAGGCGGGCCTCGCTGGAGCAGACCCTGCAGCAGGCAGAGCTCCTGCACAGCTGTGAGGAGGAGGAAGCCTGGTTGAGGGAGCACAGACAGCTGGTGGAGGATGCATCCATGGGCCCGGATTTCAGCCAGATTGCAGCGGCCCTGCAGAAACACAAGGTGCCCTCTAACTTGCATCCTGACTCTTCCCCTCTCCCTGCCATCCATCCCTTCCCTCACCCAGCTCCCTCCTCTGTGCTCCTCCAGGCCCTGGAAGCCGAGCTCCATCGCCACCAGGCTGTGTGCGCTGATCTTGTGCAGAGGGGACGCAAACTGGGAGCCTGCGGGCCCCCGACGCGGCCGGACCCCTGGGAGCGGGCTGAGGTGGTACAGGGCATGTGGCAGCGGCTCTGGGCCCGGATGGATGAGCAGGGCATGAGGCTGCAGGCAGCCCTGCTTGTCCAGCAGGTAGCAGGGCAGCAGGAGCTGGGTGGCCGGGCAGGGAGTGCAGGGTCAGCCCATGTGTGCCCAGCCTGCCCTCCTCCTCACAGTACTTCATGGACGTGGCGGAGGCGGACTCGTGGCTTCAGGAGCAGCGGTCTACACTGGAGAGTGCATCCTTTGGACAGGACCAGGTGGCCACCGAGGCCCTACTGCGGCAACACCTGCGTCTGGAACGCTCTGTGCGCACCTTCGGGACCGAGCTGCATCGATTAGACGAGCAGGCACGGGTGGCCACAGCCCAGGCAGCACTCCTGGTACATAGAGACAGGAGAGGGACCCAAACCCACGGGCCCCCGACACCAAATGCGCACTGCACCCTTGACCACACAGAGGGTGGAAATGAGATGGCCTTTGTGGCTCCTGACGTGCCTTCCCCTGGGGTTGGAGGTGCCCACTCCTTCTCAGCATCATCTCCCCTGCTGTCCTAGCCCAGAGTTAGTAGAGTACTGTCTGCGCATGATGGAGGACATCAGAGGGTAGTTTGGCATTGCTCAATTCGCCCACAAGTTCCCAGGCAATGATCAGTTTCCTCCAGCAACATCCCGTTACTTTGACCACCGGGCCTAAGGTGTCCTTTCACCCTTAAGCCCTATTCTGCTCTCCTGACTAGGCCTTTTTAGGCTTTGGGTGGCCAAATCACTACCCCAGACTGCTTTCTGAACCCCCTCCCTCACTTTATTGAGCCTCCAGTTTAAAAAAGAAAAAAAAAAACCACATACCTACATGTTGGGCAGGGTGGTTCAGGCCTCTGAGGGTATGCAGTTTCTTTCAAGAAGCTGGACATGTAGCTCAGGATGTGTAAATCACAGCCCTCAGGTCCTGCACTCACATTTGGTCCGTCTACCCTCATCCCACGACTGAAGCGACTTAGCATGCATGTACCCTCATGCCAAGGAAGCTCCACGTCCCGGGCGCCTGCAGACCTGCAGCACGGGTCCTCGTGTCTTGGAAGGGGGCCTGGTGGCATAGTTGGTACTGACCACCAAGACCAGACTACCAAAAGTCTGAAAGTTCTGTGCTTCTAACTTAGCTGAGGTCGAGCTATCTCTTTTCCTTTGCATTTGTTCCCTGGACCATATAATCAACAATTTTTGAAAATAGAACCACAATGTGTTAGCAGTTGTCTGGTCCAGCACCCTCTCTTTAGAGGTGAGGCAACCAAAGTTCACAGAGGCCAAGTTACTGCCCTCACACCTGCTGGAGTGGTTGCCCAGCTCCTGTCCAGGACTGTCTCCCCTTTCCCTCCGTGTGTGGCTATAATATGTAACTCCTGGCGCTTGCGTTATATTAACACTTGCTGCTTTTGGTATTGCTTTCCTTCTGTACTATGTGGCCACCTTCTCCAGTCTGAGTTGTTTAAATGAATGACAGGAGACGCCTTATCCTTCTTTTGTGGCATCTACTGCCCAGCCAGCCTTGGCATTGATAGAAGGCTTAGTTCTAATCTCTGGCATTTTCAGACCCTTTCTTTGCCCAGTGGTGGTGGAGAGGTACAGAGATGCCTCCCCTCCTGTGGGTGGGGAGTCACTTTGGCAGCTAAGCAGAGCCTTCCCTCCTCCATACAGAAGGAACCCCCAGAAGGCTGGAGCAGAACTGATGGAGATGTCACCAGGAGACCTGAGAATGGGACCCAAATTTTAGCACTGCAGGGAAGCCAACCACCATGCCCTCAGGTCAAGACAAGCTTCATCTACAGAGGTATAAGGCCAAGACCTTACATGGGCACCTTAACAGAGCATCAGGAATCTGTGTGGCTCTTGGGGGCATCCAAAGACTGAAGGGAAGAAGTTAAGGAGGGGAGGAAAGATATGAAGCTGCCTGAAATTCTGAGTCTTCCTTTGTTCCCCTCCCTTTCCAGTCTTTCTCTGTGCCTCTTCCTTTTCCTCAACCCCTGAGTGGCCAGCCTGGCGGCTGCTGCTGCTGCAATGTCTGACCCCTGCCCCGGGCCAGAGACACAGAGGGACAGAGACCCCCCATCTGGAAGGCCAGCCTGGGCTCCCCCTCCACCCCTCTATGCCCCAGCTCCTGCCACCAGAGCCACTTTGCCTGCAAATGGTGTTCCCCCAACCAGGCTCACCCTGCCCTTGAAATCTTTCCCAACCCCAGCCTGTTCTGGCTGTCTTCCACCCCCTGGGCCCCCATAGTATCCATTTCACACACTGTGCATTCTGCTTATCCTTGCACAGTCCTGGGAAGTGTCCTAGGTCTGTGGGCATAAGGTCTTCAGGGGCTCAGGAAGCTCTGGCCTTCATCCTCTGGCCTGCAGGGCTCCTGGCACAGGACTGAGTAATGAATAATCTCCCCTGCCCATCCCCAGTGGCCAGCTCCTGGCTCAAGAAGAGGCACAGGGCCAGTGCGGCCCTGAGAACCTATGTTCCCACAGGAATGCACTTCACCCGGCTCCCAGGAGAGGCCCGGCAGCCCCCACACCAGACAGACCCCGACACCCCAGGGGGCTGCCAGGCCACAGTGCCCCTCAGTCACATCATGGGACCGGAAGCTCAGGTACAGCTGCTGGCCCACCCTGCCAAGCCTTCTGCTCCTTACTGGGAGCCCTTCCAGACACGCTGACCTCTGTCCTGTGGGCACAGGTGGTGTCTGCCCTGAGCTCTCCGAAGATAGGCCCGAGAAACCCAGGGGCCTGGTGTGAGGTTTCCTGCCACTCTGGTCTGTGGGGCACCCAGAAGATGGCCCTCCCAGATGAGCCTGACCCTGACTTTGACCCCAACACCATCCTCCAGACACAGGACCGCTTGAGCCAGGACTATGAGGGCCTGCGGGCCCAGGCAGAGGTAACACTCCTTGTTCATGGAACGTTCGCTCCTTCAGTCTGGATCCTGGGCCATGAGCCCAGGGACAGAGCAGTGACAGGACGCGTTCCCTGCCCTTGAGGAGCTTGGGTCAGGGCAGAGAAGATGTGAACAAGTCATTAGACGGATCTGGGTGCAATGGGAGCGTGAAGGGGAGGCCAGGTGAGGGCAGGGAATCAGGAGAGGCATCTCTGAGGGATGGACATTTAGGCCGAGACTTGAACAGTGAGAAGCTGGGAGCAGGTCAGTCAGGGGCGTGGCAGGGGGAGATGGTGGGGGAGAGTGTTCTAAGCAGGACCTGGGCAAAGGCAGGAAAGGGGCCCAGTGAAGGAGCGAGGGCCAGGGTGCCTGGAGCACGGCAGGGAGGCCTGGGAGCAGCTAGAGGAGAGCCTGCAGGGGAAGGGGCAGGGAGCAGGGCCAGACCCAGGGAGAAGCGCAGACTGTACCCACGAGCGCAGGGTGTGAGTAGGATGAGAGCAATGTGCATGCTCTGCCGGGCCCTCTGCCAGAGAGGGTGGAGGGCCCAGCAGTGGGACAGGGACTGTTTCTGCGCCTGGCCTTGGACTCTGTGGGTTGGGAGGTGATGGGGGACCTGCTCTCAGCGCCCCATGGCAGGCACTGGCCCTCAACCCAGCCTCTGGGCTGGCCTCTCCTCAGCGCCGCAGGGCCCAGCTGGAGGAGGCGGTGGCCCTGTTTGGCTTCTATGGCTCATGTGGGGAGCTGCAGTCCTGGCTGGCCAAACAGACGACGCTGTTGCAAACGCTGCAGCCCAAGGCCAACAACCTGGAAGTCACGCAGCTCAAGTTTGAGGTATCTTGCTGCTGAGGGGGTCTTGCCTGCTTGGCCCTGCTGCCTCGGGTGATTCCTGTCCTGCCCCCTCCTCACGCCTCTCCCTTATTCACTCCTGTGCCCCAGTGAGCTCCGTGTCAGCTGTGGTCCTGTCTGGGAGGAGGGAGAGGAGGATTTGGCCTCGAATTTTTTTTTTAATTGAGGTATAATTAGCATATAACACTGTATTTTTTCAGGTATAAATAGATGTCATATATCGCAAAATGACCACACTGTAAATCTAGTAACATCCATCAGCATACATGCACAGTAACAAAAGTTTTATTTTATAACTATAAGTGTGTACCATTCACCCATCTCACCCACTCCCCATGCCTCCCCTATGGGAACCACCAATCCATTCTCTGAATCTATGAGCTTGGGTTTTTTTTAAATCACATATATAAGTAGGATCATATGGTATTCGTGTTTCTCCATCTAACTTATTTCACTTAGCATGATGCCGTCAAGGTCCATCCACGTCATCCTGAATGGCAAGATTTCAATTCTTTCTTGTAACTGAATAATACTTCAGTGCTCACATGTGTGTGTGTGTGTGTGTGTGTGTGTATTATGTTTTCTTTGTCCTTTCATCCACTGATGGACAATTAGGTTGTCTCCACATCTTGGTTTGTGTAAATAATGCTGCAATGTATATTGCAGTGCAGGTGTATATATTTTTTGGAGTTAGTGTTGTTTTCTTCAGATAAATACCCAGAAGTGGAATGGCTGGATCATGTGGTAGTTCTATTTTCCATTTTTTGAGGAACATCCATACTGTTTCCCATAGTGGCTGTACTAATTTACATTCACACGAGCAGTGCACAGGGATTCCCTTTTCTCTACATCCTCACCAATGCTTATTTATTGTCTTTTTGATAATAGCCTTTCTAATAAGTATAAGATGATATCTCATTGTGGTTTTAATTTCCATTTCCCTTATGATGGTGATAAGTATCTTTTAATGTAACTCTTGACCATCTGTATGTTTGCTCATTTTTTAATTATATTATTTGGTTTTTTGCTATTAAAATGTGTAAGTTCTCTGTATATTTTGGATATTAACCTTCTATCAAATGTATGATTTGCAAATATTTTCTTCCATTCTCCCATAGGTTGCCTTTTCATTTTGTTGATGGTTTCCTTTGCTGGGCAGAAGCTTTTTAGCCACTTGTTTATTTTGTTTTTGTCCCTTTGCTTTTGGTGTCAAATAAAAAAAAATCATTACCAGACCAATGTCATGGAGCTTACCCTACTATGTTTTCTTTGAGGAGCTTTATGATTTCAGGTCTTACATTCAAGTCTTCAATCCGTTTTGTGTTAATTTTTATGTGTAGTATTAGAAAGTGTTCCAGTTTCATTCTTTTGCAGGCAACTGTCGAGTTTCCCCAACACTATTTTTTAAGAGACTGTCCTTTCCCCAGTGTATAGTCTTTATAATCGATAGCTCCTTGGTCATAAAATTAATTGACCATATATGCATGGGTTTGTTTCTGGGCTATCTTTTCCATTGATCTATATGTCTGTTTTTATCCCAGTACTATACTGTTTTGATTTACTATGCCTTTGTTAAAGAGTTTGAAATCAAGGAGCATAACACCTCCAAGTTTGTTCTTTCTCAAGATTGCTTTGGTTGTTTGAGATCTTTTATTGTCCCATACAAATTTTAGTCTTCCGATCCTTGAACACAAAATATCTTTCTATTTATTTGTGTCTTCTTTGATTTTTTTTCATCAATGTCTTATAGTTTTCAATGAACAGATCTTTTACCTCCTTGGTTAAATTTATTCTTGTGCTGTGCTGCTGCTGCTAAGTCACGTCAGTTGTGTCCAACTCTGTGTGACCCCATAGCCGGCAGCCCACCAGGCTCCCGTCCCTGGGATTCTCCAGGCAAGAATACTGGAATGGGCTGCCGTTTCCTTCCCCAGTGCATGAAAGTGAAAAGTGAAAGTGAAGTCGCTCAGTCGTGTCCAACTCTTTGCGACCCCGTGAACTGTAGCCTACCAGGCTCCTCCGTCCATGGGATTTTCCAGGCAAGAGTACTGGAGTGGGCTGCCATTGCCTTCTCCGTCTTGTGCCATGCTAAGTTGCTTCAATCATGTCTGACTCTTTACAACCCCATGGACTGTAGCCCAACAGACTCCTCTGTCATGGGATTCTCCAGGCAAGAATACTAGAGTGGGGTGCCATTTCCTTCTCCAGGGGATCTTTCCAACCCAGGGGTCAAATCCACATCTCTTATGTCTCCTGCATTGACAGGTGGGTTCTTTACTACTAGCACCACCTGAGAAGCCCAAAATTTATTCCTAGATATTTTATTCTTTGGGGGTTAATTGCAAATTTAATTTCTATATACTAATAAGGAACTATCAGAAAGAGAAATGAAGAGAACAGTCCCATTTTCCATTGCATTTCCAAAGAATAAATTAAAAAAATTTATTCCTAGATATTTTATTCTTTGGGATGCAATTGCAAATGGGATTCTTCATATCTCTTTCTGATAGTTCCTTATTAGTGTATAGAAATTGAACACATTTCTGTATATTGATTCTTTTATCCTACAACCTTACTGAATTCATTTATTCTAACAGTTTTTTGGTGGAATCTTTTTTAAAATTTTATTTATTTTTGGCTGTGCTCGGTCTTTGCTGCTGCTCAGGCTTTTCTCTAGTGATGGCGAGTGAGATCTACCCTCTAGTTGTGGTGCTCAGGCTTCTCATCATAGAGCCTTCTCTTTTGTTACCGAGTATGGGCTCCAGGGCATGTGGGCTTCAGTAGTTGTGCGTGCGGGCTCAGCTGTGGCTCCCGGACCTTAGAGAACAGGCTCAGTGGTTGTGGCACATGGGCTTAGTTGCCCCATTGGCATATGGGATCTTCCCCCAGGAGACATGGGATTGAACCCGTGTCTCCTGCATTACCACGTGATTCTTTAGGGTTTTCTCTGTATAAAATCTTGTCATCTGCAAATAATGACACTTTTACTTCTTCCTTCCCAATTTGGATGTCTGGTCTTGAATTTTTAAAGGGCCCTCCCAGCCCTTTAAGGACACAGACCCCTGTCCTTCCAGAGGGATGCAGCTCAAACATCTCTGTAGCAGTGCATATCTGAGGTCATTCCTAGTATTAAGGGGACTCTAGGAAGACAAAAGGCCCCCTCCAGGCCTGGAATCTCCTTTCCCCAGAACTTTCTCACTGCCCTGGCTGTGGGAAGAGGACTCTGGACTGAGGTTAACAGCTCCGCTGAGCAGCTGAAGCAGAGGTGTCCTGGAAATTCCCCCCAAATCCAGCTACAGCAGGAGGAACTGAGCCAGAGGTGAGAATGAAGAGGGAGTGCTGCTGAGAGGACAAGGTTGGCTAATGCCCAGGCCTGAGTACTTGCTTACCTGACTCCTGAGATGCCAGGAAGAAAGACTAGAGGCATCAGGGATGGAAAGAGAGGGTATGGGGATGGCTGGCCAGCCAGCTCTTGTCACACAAGCCTTGGCCAAGGCCCCAGGATGGATGGAGAGGTGTCCCTGTGACATGACATCCCTGAGACAACCCTGTTCCCTCGGCCCAGATGGGAGCAGCTGGAGACCCTGAAGAAAGAGAAGGAAACGCAGCTGGCATGCACAATGCATGTGTGCAGTTTTCTGCAGGAGTGTGGATCCACACAGGTCCAGCTGCAAAACCTAATACTCCAGCTGGAAACCCTGGAGCTGGGGAACTCAGAGGATGGCCACCATGTTCTGCAAGTGGGCCAGCAGAAGATGCTGGTGCTGGAGAAAGACATTCACCGCCTGCAAAGTGCGGCTAACAAGTATGACCGGGATTCAGCCCAACAATGCCCTGAGCAGGGCTCTGGAATGGGGAGGAGGACAGAAACTGAGGTGGGAGGATGGGTGGGGTATGCCATTGGAAGGGCAGGTCACAGATTGGGAAACAGTGTGAGAACATGCTCATGGTGAACCAGAGAGCCACCCATGCTCGCTGCCCCTCTATTGAGGGTGAGAGGACAGTTCAGAGTTACCACCACTTGCCCTAGGGAACATATGCCTGGGCCCAGAGCCAGGGACAGAGCACTGACTGGGCGGTGGGTCCTGTCCACAGGGTTGAGGAGATGGGCCCCGCAGAGAGCCTGTCCCTGCAGGGACAGGTGGAGACGCTGCAGGGGCTGCTGGAGCAAGTACGGGAGCAAGTGGCCCTGCGGACCCAGGCCCAGGCCCACCGGAGCTTCCTGCAGGAGAGCCAGCGGCTGCTGCTGTGGGCAGACAGTATCCAGGCCAAGCTCCACAGCGAGGAGGAGGCGGTGGATGTGGCCTCAGCCCAGCGGCTCCTGGGGAAGCACCGAGACCTGCTGGAGGAGATCCACCTGCAGCAGGAGAGGTCAGGATGAGAGGGCAGGTGGGGCACGCATTAGGCTGGCCCTGGCCTGTGGGGACGGGGCACCAGGAAGGGACAGATGGGGAGCAGCGTGTCAGCAGGGGTGTGGCCCAGGCTGGTGTCCATCCTGGCACCTGAGGCAGGTTTACAAAGACGCGGGTGAAACCAAAGACTGGTCAGACATCTTGCATATATGCTGGGGAGGGACCCCAGGCAGAGTCTGAGCCTCCTGGAATGTTCTGTCCTGTCCAGGCCTGGCCACACCCCATGCAGGGGAGCCTGGTGGACTGCTATCAGGGTGGCTGAGCCACCTAACCTATTCTGGGTAATACAGACCCCACAGGCCCCTGGAGCAAAAATAAAAATGGCTCAGCCTCTTGCCCCCCACCCCCAGGACTAAGACAACACCCTCCTCAGTATGGCGATGCCTCCCCTCGTCCTGCAGGGGTGGGTGCAGTCTACAGCCTGTGCCACATATGAAGGAGCCTAACAGGTGGCCCAGTGAACCCTGAAATCCAGCCCATCCCCTGCTAACTAGATTCTACCACCCACTTGAGGGCTGCACCAGCTCAGAGAAGTGGAGCCTTTTCCTCACTCACACAAAGGTGTCACCTGTTCTCAAACCGTGAGCCTGGGGGGCACACCCGGCAGAGGGGTGGCTGCCTTTCCTAAAGCTTCACCCAGGCTTGCGGTGATCCCACAGTCAGGTATGTAGGCGGTCTGAATGATTTTTTCTGGGTGCACTGCCCAGCCATCCACTGGCCTGGGCATCGCCATCAACATGGCCAGCTGGAGCAAGGTGTGACATGCAGGGAGCACAGGAACTAGTGAGTCCCAAGTCCTGCGCTGGGCTTGTTACGTTTGCTGTCTCACCAGTGGCCCAGGGCATAGCTATCCCACAGGATGAGTGGATCCCTGGGGCTTACCCACCTCAGACCCCTGCCAGTTACCCTCACCTCAGAGCTCCCAGATGAATGGACCATGGAGGCCAGACAGTAAGAAGGTTGGCCCAGGGTTTGACCCTCTGCCTGTCGTCCTGGACAGGCTGCAGCAGCTGGAGACAAAGGGCCAGCCCATGGCAGCCTCGGGCTCCCCAGACTTCCGAGAGGTGGCTAGTGCCCTGAGGCTCCTGGGCCACCAAGGCCAGGAGTTGAAGGCCGCCTGGGAGCAAAGACAGCAGCAACTGCAGGAGGGGCTGGAATTGCAGAAGTTTGTTCGAGATGTGGATGGTTTCACTGCCTCCTGTGCCAACCATGAGGCCTTCCTACGGCTGGACAGCCTCCAGGTACAGAGCTGGGGGTGTGCAACTGGGATGCGCCTTCCCCAGGAAGTAGGAGCCTGAAGCCAGGCTGGGCGCGGGGTCCCTGGGTTGGCAGTGGGTGAGATGGTGCTGGCCACTCCCCTCTTCTCAGCCTGACCCATCTCTGTTTCTCCAGGAGGGCGTGGTAGAGACCCAGAGCCTGCTGCAGCAGCACCAGGAGCGTGGGTGGCTGCTGGATGCCCTTGGCTCTAGAGCAGAGGATCTACGGGCGCGTGGCGAGAAGCTGGCTCAGAGCCGACACCCCGCTGCATACAAGTGAGCCTGGGCCTGTCTGGGCAGGGCCTACACAGCCCATTACCCTGAGGCTGGGAGAGTGCCCGGGGAGCGGGGGGACAGCGGGGTGAACCCTGGGCTGTGGTGGGTCCAACCTTTGTGGTGGGCCTCAAGCAGAGTAGAGCCTCCACATAACTTCCCCAATTGCATCTGCCCTCCAGGGTCAGAGAGCAGCTTCAGAGCATCCAGGTGCGGTGGACCAGGGTCCAGGGGAGGAGTGAGCAGAGAAGGAGGCAGCTGCTAGCCTCCCTCCAGCTCCAGGTGAGGGGCTGCCCCCTGCCCCCTGCCATAGTGCACGAGACCATCCCGGAAGGAATGCTCTGAGTCGGCTGCTGAACTACAGCTGTGTGATGGGCGGGGCACTGCACAGTTTACAAAGCACTTTCCTGACCCTCCCAGCACCTCTTGTGAGATAGGCATTATGACTCTGATTTTTCCAGTTGAGGAAAACCAAGGCTCAGGCCACTCTGCTCAGAGACAGGGCTGGACCCAAAGCCTAGGCCCCTCCCTTGGCCAGCTGCTCCCCAGCCCCAGCATTTTCAGCCATGCTCCAGGCTCTTGCATGGGCCCTGGTCTCCAGCGGCAGAGCTTGACTCTGTTGGATGTCTGTTCTGCCCACGATGGGGGCTCAAAGCCGGGCTAGTCCACAGGCCTCCTGGACGCAGAGGGCCATCCATGATCTGATGCACTGAATCAGGGGGCACCTGGCCAGACACCCCTCTTCTCTGGGCACTGGGCGCTGTGAGGCCAGACCCTGATTCTCCAGGCTTCTTTCTGCTGCTTTCCCTGAAACAATTTTCTCCCCATCTTTCTTTCCTTGTTCCCACTTGGGAGCAATAACCCCTGCCCTGCACCCCTTCTGCACCCTAGGATTGGCTCCACATCCTGCTATTCCCCTTGGGGCACCCTCAGACCCCTCTTCCATGAGGTCCTCATACCAGCCTCACCCCGCTCTGTAATAACCACCCTCCCCCGGTTCCCGGGCAGGAATGGAAGCAGGACGTGGTGGAGGTGCTGCTGTGGATGGAGGAGAAGGGGCGGATGTTGGTGGACGAGCCATCCCGAGAGCCCAGCAACATCCTGAGGAAACTAAGGCGGCACGAGGCAGCCACGCGTGAACTGGCGGCCACCCAGGGGCACGTGGAGGGCCTGCAGCAGGTGAGGGACGCTGGGCCCAGGGTGCGGGGTCTGCTCGGCTTCATGTTTCCACTACACAGCACATTCTCATGGAGCACAGTCACTGCAGGAAGAATGGATCTCAATCTCCAGGGCATTAGCATCCCTAGCTTCCTCCTTCATTCAGCAGGCAACCTCGGTCTTAGCATGCAAATCAGTCCAGAGAGCTTTTCTCATCCCTTCCCCTCAAGTCTAAGAGGCAGCCCCAGAGCCTGCTGCCTCCACCTGGACACAGTCCTCCCACCAGCTGTCCAGTGCCTGCTCACCCCACACTATTTCCAGGCATCAGAGGACAGCCCTCCCTCCAGTGCCCACAGATCTGGGGCCATGCGAACAGCTAGAGGAGTCCTTGCAGCCTGTGGAGTGCAGCTTGCAACCAGTCACTCCCACTGCTGCCCCCTGGACCCAGCCCATCACAGCCACTCCCAGCACCAGCAGCTCAACCAGACGCCCCAGGCCTTTGTGTCCACTGCAGGTCGGGAGAGAGCTGCTGAACAGCAGGCCCCATGCCCAGGAGGACGTGCAGGCCAGGCTTCAGGGCCTAAGTAGCAAGTGGGAAGAGTTGAGACGCAAGATGGCAGAGCGTGGGAAGCAGCTCCAGCAGGCTCGGCAGCAGGACCAGCTCCTGCGGCTGCTACAGGTGGGTCCAAGAGAGAGGAAGACCCAGGAGGGAGTCCGAGGCTGGGCTGAGTAGACAGGAGAGGAAATGGGGAGAGGAGGAGTCGGGGCGCTCTGCTGACTCTGGCGTGGCCCTGGAAAGTCCTGCAGCCTTTGGAGGCCTCTAGCCTGTGGCCCATTGACCCCGGCTACCCACCGTTGGCCGATCCAGGACTGCTCCCTGTGTGCCTGTGCGTGCTCAACACGACTTGAGTCTCCCTGGCGGCAGAAGTGAGAGAGGATGGGGGCACTCCTGATGTTCTGGGAGAAGGATTGGGTACCGTGGGTTGGAGGTGGACAGTGGTGAGGACAGGGGTCCCCAAATGGTCCTTGGTGAATCTGGCATGCTGCTAGCCCTGCAGCCTTAGCATCCAAGAAAGGCCACTTGCCAGTCTGCACATGGGCAGCCTAAGACAGCGCCCTGTATCCCTCCCCAGGAAGCCAAGGAGAAGATGGAGCAGCTAGAGGGGACCCTGCAGAAGGCAGAAATGGGGCAGGACCTGGGCTCCAGCCGGGGGCTGCAGAAACAGCACCGCCAGCTGGAGGCCGAGAGCCAGGCGCTGGCCAGCAGGATGGCTACCCTTGTCCCCGAGGCCCATCAGGTGGTCAGTTCCCAGGCCATTGTGGAGGAGACCAAAAAATACCTCCAGAGGTACTCAGCTGCTTGTCCCACCTCCACCCTACTGTGTGTAACTGCCACCATATGAACCTGAGGGCGTTTCAGCCAGTGGCCCAGCAGGGCAGCACCTCAAGGCCCTGAGGCTGTCCATGCCTCCTTCCTTTATGGGTGGAGTCACTTCTGAGGTAGGAGAGTCAGAGACCCCAGCCAGGCATCCTAAGCACCCCCCAGTCTGAAGCCAGGGAGGTCATCTGGGTGGGAGTTTGGGCCCTGGGCCTTTCCAGCTGCCTCCCCGTCTTCAGATGATGTTCCCTGGTCCCTGCCTCTTCCTTTGTGGGCCCCTGACTGGGATGAGGAAAGCGCTGAGCACTGGACCTCGCCTGTTCCCAGCCTTTCTATCTCCTCTGTCCACCCAGGTTCAAGGCCCTGCAGGGACATCTGGCCACCCGGCGATGGCAGCTGCAGGCCTCGGTTGAGCTGTACCACTTCCACCACCTGAGCGACGCGGAGCTCACGTGGGTGGCAGAGCACATGCCTGCGCCCAGCCCCAGCTCTGCTAAGTACCCAGATGGTGCCCACCGCCTTCTCCACAAGCACGAGGTAATGGTCCCTGTTTCCTCCCAGGATCCCTGACAGCCTTTCCCAGAGCCTAGATGCCCTCCTCCATGACTCAGGGAGTCCTGATTTCCAAGTCTCTGCCCCCAGCCCTTCTCTGCCTGCAAGTCATCCTGGGCCCTGGAGCCACATCCACGGCTCTGTTCTGGGCCCCCTGTGGCTAAGGAGTGCCCTGAGGCGGCAGCCCTTCCACTGTTCTGTGGCAGGAGCTCCGGGCAGAGGTGGGAGCCCGCCAGGGACAAGTGCAACGGGTGCTGGGTTCCGGGCGACACCTCGCAGCCTCTGGGCACCCCCAAGCCCAGCACATCGTGGAGCGGTGCCAGGAGCTGGAAGGTCGCTGGGCGGATCTGGAGCAGGCATGTGAGGCCCAGGCCCGGCACCTGCAGCAGGCTGCTGCCCTCCAGCAGGTATGAAGCAGAGGCCACAGGGTCAGGTTACTGCTGCTGCTAAGTCACTTCAGTTGTGTCCAACTCTGTGCGACCCCATAGACGGCAGCCCACCAGGCTCCCCCATCCCTGGGATTCTCCAGGCAAGAACACTGGAGTGGGTTGCCATTTCCTTCTCTAATGCATGAAAGTGAAAAGTGAAAGTGAAGTCGCTCAGTTGTGTCCGACTCCTAGCGACCTCATGGACTACAGCCTACCAGGCTCCTCCGTCTGTGGGATTTTCCAGGCAAGAGTACTGGAGTGGGTTGCCATTGCCTTCTCCACACAGGGTCAGGGGAAGTAGATAAAGTTGGGCAGCCTCTTCGGGTGAGGTCTGTGGGACCTGGAGCTCTCAGGGAGCTGGGTCAGTGGTGAGAACTCAGGGCCTAGAGCTGCCTGGTCTCCATGGGAACAGAAGCCTTTTTTCTGCCTGTGTGATGTCCCCAAGGGGTGATGGAGGGTCCATCTGGAAATGTCAAGGTGAGATGACTCCATTCTTGCCAGTGTTTCCTGGACACATCAGAGCTGGAGGACTGGGTGGAGGAGAAGTGGCCACTGGTGAGCAGCCAGGACTATGGTGGGGATGAGACAGCCACCGTCAGGCTCATTAAGAAGCACCAGGTAGTGTGTGCTGAGCTTCCCCGCTGTGGTCTGGACTGGGGTGATGACAGGCCATGAGGAAGGGGTCTATCACACACCCAAAGGGCACATCCTGCTTCTCAGAGGCAGAGCCCTGCTCTTTCTTCCTGAAGACTGTCCAGCCCCTCCCCCACCACCACCACTCCCCCCGCCCAAACCCTGCAGTGGCCCCTGTTCACCCCTAGTTGTCCCCCCTTTTCAGACACCACCCCTTTGAAGAGCCCACCCCCTTCTTGCATCTCCATAGTGATTCACACTCCTGTGGCCTCACGATTTCTCTGCCTTCTCTTCTAGCTTCTTTTCCTCTCCCTGGCACTTTCCTGCTCTCTTGGGGGTCACCTGTTCCAGCCATCCCCACATCTTCCACAGGCTTCTCCTTCCCACACTTTGAATATCATCCTTTGAGTTAACCATCCCTGAAACCTACCCATCAGCATCCCCAATTAAAGTAACAGAGGCCTGGAACACCCTCATCCTTCCTGGAATCTGACTCTCAGAACCGCATGTGAGCTCTGAATCCCGAACAGTCCTGGTTTCTGTTACCACTGAAGTGTCCACCTGTCTGGGCTTTTTGTCTACCTATCCCTAGTGGTCAGTGTTTGAGGGTCCTGTGACTGAGGGCTTTAGGGGGGCCACTCCTAAGGGGTGTGCCCATAACCAAAGCCTCATGGAGCTTTCATGTCCTGGGCATCCTGGGCCGCTCACTTGACTCCATCTGTTTTCATACTGGGAGACTGGGACCCAGTACCGGCCTCCCGTGGCCTCTCTTCCTTGGCCCAGAGGACCCAGCGTTCACTGTCCTGCTAAATAGTGAGCCCTCTGCGGGCACAGACTGCATTTTCACTTTCTTGGAGCAATTAAGAACTCCCATCACTATTGGGTAGATGAGTGATCGGTGTGTGAGTAAGCGGATGGGTCAGGGTGGGTGGATGGGTGAGTGTGTGGGTGGATAGGTGAGTGGAAGGAGGAACAGGATGGGTGTGTGATCAATGGGTTGTATGGTCAGGAGGGTGGGTAGATGGACAGATGGATAAATCACCCAACCCGAGCCTTGTGTACTGGCAGGCCCTGCAACAGGAGCTGGCTCGTTATTGGAGCTCCATGGAGGAGGTTGGCCGGAGAGCTCAAACCCTCGCTGGCCCGGAGGCCCCTGCACAGCTGGGTGTGGCGCAGAAGAGGCTCCGGGAGCGGCTGCAGGCCCTGCAGGAGCTGGCGGCCACACGGTGAGGGGCGCTGTACCTCTCCCAAGGCTTAGGCAACCTGGCCACGGTTGTTTCCATACCTTAACTCTGATTGGAAGGAGCCCGTGACCCCAGGTCCACAGAGCTGACAGATGGCTCCTTGCTGTGTATTGCTCCCTTCCTTTCATAAATTCTTCAGTGAGTGCCTGCTGGGCAGGAACTTGGGCTGCCAGCTCCCCATTTCTTCCCCCTACCTACACCCTCACCTGCTCTACTCTGGCCTTCTTATGTTTACTTCTCCCCGAATCCCCAGCCTCAAGCTTAGGCAGGAAACATGAATAACCTCCTCCTTCAGGCCACCCACTTTGGCTGGGTCCGCTGTCCTCAGAGGTGTGGGCAACTAACTTCGGGGGAACCATGGGCTATCCCCACAGGGACCGGGAGCTGGAGGGGGCCCTGAAGCTGCACGAGTTCACGAGGGAGGCTGAGAACCTGCAGGGCTGGCTGGCTAGCCAGAAGCAAGTGGCTGGAGGAGGAGAGAGTCTTGGGGAGGACTATGAGGACGTCCTGGTGAGAAGAGGCTGGGGGCAGGGGCCGGCTGGGCTGTGTGTAGAAGGGGGCCCTGGGTTACGAGCCTGGCTGAGGACAGGCCTTCTGAGTAGTGGGGGCAGGAGCTGCAGCCATCCAAGCCCCCATCGCCCAGATGTCAGTGAGGGGCCTCGCTCCCCGGGCTGCTTGCTGTCTTGCCAGCTGAGGCCACCCTATCACCTCTTCCCCTCTCTCCTCAGCACCTCTGCACCAAGTTTGTCAAGTTTCAGCACAAAGTAGAGATGGGTGGCCAGCGGGTGGCAACCTGCCGGCAGCTGGCAGAGAACCTGCTGGAACGAGGGCACAGAGCAGCCCCCAGGGCCCATCAGATGCAGCGGGATCTGCAGTGAGTGCCAGGCGGACCCAGGACATGGGCTTGGGGAAGGGTGCTGGACAGGCAGGTCCCGGGAGACTTAGAGAGGCCTCATGTGCCCAAGGCCACACTTGCTCTGTCTGCCCTGGTGGGGAGGCACTGCTTTCACGGATGCCAAGCCTGCCTGGGGGGCTGTGCCACAGGTGACTGTGGGCTGTGAAGGGAAGCGAGGAAGGGTGTGCTGGTCAGAGAGCCCTGCCCAGACCCCCAGGGGCACTTTTCCAAACCTCTGGCTCTTGGACTTGGAGGGCCTGTGGGAAGACTGCCTGGCTCCCCACAGGCTGGTTTGAATCCTCCTCCAACCTGTGAGATTTGAGGCGGGGTCGTCCCAGGTCATAACCCCTAGCCCGACCCAGCCCTAGGAGCTCAGGGAGAGTTTGCTGAGTACATCAGGAGTGCAAAAGAGAAATTACAATCTGATTGACTTATTGAGACTTGAAGGCACAAGATGTAAGGAGTATCAAAGAGCTCAGAAATTAGTAAAGTGAGACTTAGAGAGGCCTCATGTGCCCAAGGCCACACTTGCTCTGTCTGCCCTGGTGGGGAGGCACTGCTTTCACGGATGCCAAGCCTGCCTGGGGGGCTGTGCCACAGGTGACTGTGGGCTGTGAAGGGAAGCGAGGAAGGGTGTGCTGGTCAGAGAGCCCTGCCCAGACCCCCAGGGGCACTTTTCCAAACCTCTGGCTCTTGGACTTGGAGGGCCTGTGGGAAGACTGCCTGGCTCCCCACAGGCTGGTTTGAATCCTCCTCCAACCTGTGAGATTTGAGGCAGGGTTGTCCCAGGTCATAACCCCTAGCTCGACCCAGCCCTAGGAGCTCAGGGAGAGTTTGCTGAGTACATCAGGAGTGCAAAAGAGAAATTACAATCTGATTGACTTATTGAGACTTGAAGGCACAAGATGTAAGGAGTATCAAAGAGCTCAGAAATTAGTCAAGTGTTGAGTGTGACAACAGCCGAGGACTGAATTCAAAGCAAAGGTAGAAATCGAGGCTCCTGGGCCGTGACCAGAAAGGAGGGAGGGTTTGGAAGGGGTGTTGTGGGCCAGTCCTGGATAAAGTGCAGAGAGGAGGAGGGCTAACCAGCCTGGCGAGAGGTGAAATGAGGCGCTAAATCAATGGCTGATCTGCTACCCATCTCCCATGAGCAGGGCTGCCTGGTCGGAGCTGTGGGAGCTGACCCAGGCCCGAGGCCGCCTGCTCCGAGATGCCGAGACCACCCTCAAGGTTCACCGAGACATGTTGGAAGCCCTCACCCAGGTCCAGGTGTGAGCCGGGGATGGGGGGAGGTTTCTTTCTAGAAGTGGATCCTGACTCAGCATCCCACCCTCCATTCCTGATCCCCTCGGCTGTCTCCTTTCCTCAGGAGAAAACCACCAGCCTCCCTTGTGACGTGGCCCAGGACCTGCGTGGGCTGGAGGCCCAGCTGAGGAGACACGAGGGGCTGGAACGTGAACTCATGGGCACTGAGCAGCAGGTGAGCCCAGATCTGGTGCCTCTCCCCCTCGGGGCCCCTCAGGCCTGCACGTCTGCTCTGCAGCTTTCCCCCACTCTCAGAGCTGCCAGTCGGGCCCACTGTGCATCAAAGGCAGGGCCCCACGGGGGACAGGGCAGGCCCTTCAGCCTCTAGGACACGACCCTTCCCTCTTATCCCCACCCTGCCCCCAGCTGCAGGAGCTGCTAGAGACGGGAAGCGAGGTGCAGAGGCTGGGGCCCAGGCCACAGGCCCGTGTGGTACAGCAGAGGCAGCAGGCCCTGGTGCAGGCCTGGGAGACCCTGAAGCTGCGAGCAGAGCAGCGCCGGGCCCAGCTGGAGCGGGCATGGCTCCTGGCCCGCTTCCACGTGGCGGTGAGGGTTCTTCCTTCCCCAGGGCTCTGTGTGTGTGTATGCGTGTGTGATGCTGTGAGTGTGCTTGCATTAATGAGGCCCTCCAGCTCTGGAGGCAAAACAGGTGTGAACAAGAGAAGGAAGCACCCTGGGCACATGCTGTGGTCCGCCTCAGCCTGTCAGAGGGCTCAGTACGGGGGTGCAGCAGTTGACGCCTTAGTTTTGGGTTGATACCACCTCATGTGTGACAGTGCAGTNGGCAAAACAGGTGTGAACAAGAGAAGGAAGCACCCTGGGCACATGCTGTGGTCCGCCTCAGCCTGTCAGAGGGCTCAGTACGGGGGTGCAGCAGTTGACGCCTTAGTTTTGGGTTGATACCACCTCATGTGTGACAGTGCAGTCAGGACACAGCGTGCCAGCCAGAGCTCAGAAGGAAAAACAGTCCAGGAAAGCCCATAACTAGAGACCCAAATGTCCTAGACAGTGACCTCTGGATCAGTCAGCGTCTCTTGTAACATCTGTGTTGTGTTCTCTGCTAGGAGCTGTGGGTGGGGAGAGGCAGTGATACAGAGCCTATGTAAGATGGAATCACTGCCTTCAGGGAGCTTGTCTAGCTGGGAGACGAGCCTTGGGAGTCAGATTGACAGAGGGCCCTGACCTTGGGCTGTCCCAGTACCTGCTAGACTGGGAGACTCAAACTGTAACACAGCAAAAAGGCTTGAGTTTAGAGACCCACCTCTGCCACTTTCTAGCAGCGTGGGCTCGAGCAAGGCACTGACCCCAGCTTGTTACCCCTGTGTGTGAGTGCCTGGAGGTTACAATCTCCTGCATGCTTGTTGTGCCATTTACCCTGCTGCATCTGTGTACTGAGCTGTCAGGACTAGGATCTAAGGCCCCTCCAGGTCTAACTTGTGTTTGTACGCAAATCAACAGAAGACCGTTTATAAATACGAAACCAGAGATTCAGAGGACAAGGCAGGCAGTGAGATGTCAGGGGACAGGGGAGTCTCCACAAGGGAAAGAAGGCCTTGGCCCTTGATGAACATGGAAGCTTGGAAGGGATGGAAGAAAGGAAAAGAACTTCTAAGCAAGAAGGGCAGCGAAAACCCAGGGTGGAGAGAAGTGCCAGGCAGGGCAGGGGGAGGCTGGCTTGGCCCTTGTGCAAGTTTAGTGACCTGGGAGCATTGGGTTGGATGACAGCGGAGGATCCAGGTGACCACAGGCCTCACGAGCCTCATCTGAGGTCTGACCCGGGACAGCTCGGGCTGCTCCAGTGCGTGCGTGAGTGGATCCAGGCGGGCTGTGGTTGTGTCTCAGAGCCCAGTTCTCTGCCGCCCAGCCCAGCTCTCCCTCCATCTCCCTGGGATCCAGGTGCGGGACTACACCTCCTGGGCGGCCAGCGTGTGGCAGGAGCTGCAAGTAGAGGCGAACTCCCAGGAGCACGGGAGTGGCCCACTGGAGCTCAGCACCCACCAACAACTTCGGGCCGTGCTGGAGGCCCGGGAGGAGCTGTACCAGCAGGCTGCCCAGCTGGGCCAGCAGGTGCTTCTGGCTGCAGGGACATGCATCAAGGAGGTAGGCCCCCTTTCCCGGTGCCACCCCCAGCCTCCTGAACCGAGCCTGCACCTCATCCCTGTGCCCTACCCCACTGTGCCACACCAGTTGCTCCTCAGAGGCTTCCCCTGGGGACCCACGTCTGTCCCATGCAGGCAGCTCTCTGGAGCGCAGGCTCCCGTGTGCCCATCCTCAGGTCCGGGACGGGCTGCAAGACCTGCGGGACAAGCGGGAGCGGGTGTTCCAGGCCTGGGAGCAGAAGCAGGAGAGGCTCCAGGCCGTGGGCCGGGAGCAGCTCTTCCTCAGGAAGTGTGGCCGCCTGGACGAGATCCTCAAGGCCCGGGAGGCAGGTGCCCTCACCCCGGAGCCTCCCTAGTTCTCCCTCTTCGCTCCTTTCCCCAGCTCACTCTCTTGCTTCCTGGGACCCTGGCTCTTGCCCTGATGTGGAGCTCAGAGGCTGTGCCCTGCCTCAGCCCAGATGGCTAGAAATGGGGGCAGGGGCTGACTGTCTGAACCATCCCTGGTAGCCTCTCTGACTTCTCCATGGACTGAAGCAGGTCCTCCTGAAAACTGGTGCCCTGGGGAGCTCGGTTGAAGAGATGGAGCAGTTGATCCACAAGCATGAGACCTTCCAGAAGGTGCTGGCTGCACAGGAGGAGAAGGTAATAAATTCAGGGAGTCAGAGGTGGGATGGGGCAGTCTGGGAATTTGGAGAGTTCCAAGTGGGGGATGTGGGGGGCTTGTTGTGTACCCATAGTAACGCTGATGTACGGGGGTGGCCTGGGGGGCTAGGAGCCCCTGGTCAGAGCTGACTGAGCAGAGTGGGATGTGTGGTTCAGGAGCAGGGCCTGGGACAGGGTGGACCACACTGTGGGCACCATGTCACATGGTCACAGGGGAGCCAAGGGGGGCAGTCTGGTGAAAGCCAGGGCTGGTTCTGGCTTGCTGGGAGGACCAGCCAGCCCTAGGCCATGCAGTGCGAGAGCAGGTCTTCCCTGTGAGCCAGCCTCTGAGTGGAAGAGCAGCAGGCTTTGCTCCCTGACCCCTGACCCTGCCCTCAGGAGGCAGCTCTGTGTGAGCAAGTGAAGATGCTCGGGGGCCCCAGGGCACAGGACCTGCTCTGCACAGTGCTGGAGCGCCGCGCTCGGGTGAAGGAACTGGTGGAGAGTCGGCAACACGCCTTGCACACCTCCCTGCTGATAGCTGCCTTCATCAGGGCCGCCACCCAGGTCAGAGACCACCCCAGCCCAGCCCCATCCACTTGGGCCACATCTCCCAGTTCCAGATGATGTCCACCTTTGCAGATTGTTCAGGCCTCGCCACAGCCCTGTGATGAGGACACTGAAGTTTGGAGAGTTAAATGGCTTTCTGAGAGGCCATGCTGGAGCCCAGACATTTGATTCAAAGGCCCTCTGTGTGGAGACCCAACTGCTTCCTAAGCTCTCACAGACCCAGGGCAAAGAGAGGCGCTGCGAGGGAACAGAGCGATCCAGGGTCCTGGGGCCAATGAGCCTCACCTCCAAAATGAGGTCCCACCCAAGGTCCCTACCCAGCCCCTTCCTGTGGCTGGGGACCAGCTGGGCCCAGACTGCTGGATCTTATTTACAAGGCACTGCCCAGCCCTCCCCTCAGGCCAGCAGTGCACTGCCTGGGCACAGCTGAGGGCAGGCATGTGGGACATCTCTGTGGACCATCAGCATTGTGAGACTCACGTCCTCACCCCCACCAGGCCGAGGACTGGATCCAGGAGCGACTCCAGCAGCTGAAGGTGCCAGTCCCTCCTGGGGACCTGAAAGCTAAGTTGAGACACCTGCAGAAACACCAGGCCTTCGCGGCCGAGGTCCAGGCCCGGGAGGAGATCATAACCTCTGTTGTCAAGGTAACAGTCAGTCCCTCAGCCCCCTCCCTGCCCCACAGTGAGGACTCCAGGATGGCCAAGGGGAAAGGTCTGAGGCAGGGGGAGCCTGTGATGGAGAAAAAGCAGGAGGAAGAGTGACGATCAGCATCTCCCCTCTCTCCCCAGGAGGGCGAGGCTCTCCTAGCACAGAGCCACCCTCTGGTGGGAGAGGTCTCCCAGAGGCTGCGGGAGCTGCAGGAGCACTGGGAGAAGTTGAGGCAGGCAGTGGCTCTCCGGGGCAAGGACCTGGAGGACAAGCGGAACATCCTGGAGTTCCTGCAGAGAGTGGACGCTGCAGAGGCCTGGATGGAGGAGATGGTGAGACCCTGCTGGGCAGGGACAGAGCTGGCAGTGGGGCAGTGGCGCTGGCAGGTGGAGGAGGGGGGCCCCGGCAGGAAGTTCCCCAAGTCACCACCTGCCCCAGCACTGCCCCTAGCAGCTGGGTGCCTGGGGGCTAGGTGCTCCCAGGGCTGGGTGCCCAGAGTACAGCCTTCCCAACCCATGGCCCCAACAGGAGGTGATGGTGAATGTCAGCGACCTGGGCCGGGACCTTGAGCACTGCCAGCAGCTCCACAGGCAGCTCCGCAAGCTCCGAGGAGTCTGGGCTGGGGTAAGGTGCCCTGCATCAGGAAATAGTGACCAAGTGTGGGCTCTGGAGCCAGAGGCGGGCCCTCGTGTCAGCTCTGTGTTTACGACCTGCGCTTGCTTAGGCGGGCTCCCTCACCTTGCCAAGTCTTAGTTTCTTCATCTTTGAAGTGGGGATACTGCTTCCCTCATAGGTAAGAGAGCACATATGAATGGTGGTGGTTACAGGAGTCTATACATATGATAAAACTGCCTAGAGTGATACTTTTCCACACATACACAGATGTGTGCAAGTAAAAACTGCTGAACTCTGAATAAAATCTGTAGTGTAGTGAACAGTTATACCAGTCAATGCCCTGGTTTTCATATTGTACTGTAGTTACATAAGCTGTTACTATTGGGGGAAGCCGGGGGAAGGGTACATGGGCCTTCATTATACACTGGTGCAAATTCCTGTGCACCAATGATTATTTCCAAAAAAAAGCTTTTTAATGAATGCATGTATGGTTGGATGTAATGGCTAATCAATAAACTGCAGTGGCTCAGAACCATCATTCAACATTTCCTCACCAACCCCCTCATACACACCACCAAAATCAATTTCTCTTAGGTGATATAGAAATTAGCCAAGTGTATTCATAATCACGTATTAAGAGCCCAGACTTGCTAACCTCACCCCCTGAATGAAGTATATGACTTTGTAAAAGGCTTTAGTGCTTCAATCTAAAAGCCTTTACTAGTAGGATTTCACAGCCACTGCTATTCCAGATGCTTTAGTAGAAAGAGTGCTAGATAGACTTCAGGAGCTGGGCTTGAGTCCTGGCTCTGCCATAAATTCACCATATTAGTCTCTGAGCTCTGCTTTGGCTTCTGTGAGAGAATACCCCTTCCCTTCTTACCTCACATGAGACACCTCTTGGGAAGCGCTTTGGAAATGTAGACCAACGCAAGGTGCTTTTCCTGGGGCAAGACACCTGCGGCCCTCCCACTCTCGAGGATCCTCTCCCCTTGTGGCCATGAGCTCCACACAGTAGCATTCTCAGCCCGGTGACTACCAGGGACAGGGACACCCTAACCTAAGGAGGCTGGTGCTCTCGGTTTCATTCAGGCCCTTACTTGGCTTTTCTTACCCTGAGAAGATGCATTTTCACTTTAAAAGCTTCTGTTCACCAATGCATGCCTGCCCTCCCACTCCTGCCTGGTCCCGGTGGGCTTCCCCTGGGCTCCCTGCCCCAAGAGTATCTCAGTGCACCTGGCATGGGATGGGATGACCACGCAGAGGAAGCAGCTACCACCAAACATGCCATTCCTCAAGCTCTCTTGGGCCCAAGAAGACCCTCCAAGTAGAGACTGCAGCACAAAGAAGGGGCTCAGAGCTGGTGCCACCAATGCCCGCACCCCATGCCCCCACAGGACACGGTGAATGATGCCCGCATCAGGAGCATCATTGACTTCTCACCACAGCTCAATACCCAGGACACTGAGCAACTCAAGACCATCTGGCAGCGGCAACAGCAGCTCAACAACAGGCCAGTCCCAGAGCCAGAAGCAGTGGGGCTGGGAGAGGGGGCTGAGGGTCCACCCCAGACTCAGCCTTACACCCTCTCCCTCAGGTGGAACAGTTTCCATGGCAACCTGCTCAAATACCAGCAGCGGCTCGAAGCAGCCCTGGAGATACACGGGTTGTCCCAAAAGCTTGATGACATCACTCAGCAGGTCAGGGAGAAGGTAAGCAGTGGAGGAACTGACGCAGCCAGGGAACAGTGCCTCCCACCCCTGGCCCACCTCTCCTCTTCAGCTGGGTACTTAGAGGCAGGTCACACCAGGGGGCCATCAGTGGATCTTCCAGGGGCTCTTAGAGTCAACTCTGGACCTAGAAGCCCCCATTTGCTTCCCGGAGGCTGGCCCTACATGCTTCCTCTCTCCCCCAGAAGCACTATGAGTCCAAAGGCCGGAGCAACGTCTCCTCCCCATGTGTCCTCTGTAGTCCCTGAGCAAAGCCAGAACCCGCGGGAGGTTTGCTGGGCTTTGTGTCACCTGACACATGGGAGACGCTGGCAGAGGCAGGAGAGTTGTACGCAGCCTGGGAAGCACCCTGTTAAGAAGGTGGTACCCTGTTCTGGGCGTGCAGAGAGCTCTGTTCTTACTGCCCGTCTGGTTCCTACACAGCCAGGCTGTTCCATCTCGGTTCCCTGCAAAGGCATGAGGGTCAAGTGAGAGTGCGTGTGGAGGCTCCACACCATAGAGGTTCTTGCCGCTGGGGAACCTCCAGACCCAAGTGTCTTCTGGGAATCTTCCTCCTTCACAGCAGGAGGGACGTTTGGTCAGGGCCAGCGGCCTGCTCCAGCCCATGCCAGGCACTGAGAAGGGAATCAGGCTGGCCACTTGCTTTCCACACAGAAACCCTGTGGCCTGCAACCCCTCTGCCATGAGGGGGGAGCTGGAGCAAAGGCTGACAGTAATGCCCTCTTCCTCCCCAGGCTGCCCTGGTCCAGGCCCTGGACTGTGGGAAAGATCTGGACAATGTGCAGAGGCTGAAGCAGAAACACAAGGAGCTGGAGCAGGAAATGGGCCTCCTCCAGGCCCAGGTGGAGGTGTGCAGCTGGGGAGTTGGGGAGTGGGCCCAGGCCCAGGGTACAGCATTCAAAGGACCTTGGGTATCCATGGGTGGGTGGTGGGGGGAGCTGTCAGGACCTCAAGAGACAGCCAGGTCCTGTCAGTTGCAGGCTGGGCTCCCCTGAGCGCCCCCTGCCTCCTGGTCCCAGCCCCTGACCCTGGCTTCCCACACAGCCACTAGAACGTGAAGCAGGTCGAGTCTGCCAGAGAAGCCCTGAGGAGGCCCACGGCCTTGGCCACCAGCAGCAGGAGATGATGAACAGCTGGCGGCAGCTCCAGAGCAGTATCCAGAAGTGGTACAAGCCCTGGGTCTCTTTCCCTCACCACTCTCTCTGAGCCAGCCCCTGCAACATCTCAATCCCCAGCCTTCCCCTAAGAGTCTTTCTCTGTCATTAATAACGATCGGTATCACCAGCCTATTAATTCCCAACCCCTGGGCCTTTCTTTGGCTGAAGGGATTCGGAAAGAGAAGGCAGTGGTAGGCACAGGGGCAAAAAGGATGGGAGGCTCTGTGACTAGCTGATGAATCCTTTGGGCAGGAAGGAGTCCCTGGATGCCTTGCATGAAGCTCAGGAGCTGCAGGCAGTGCTGCAGGAACTGCTGGTCTGGGCCCAGAGGCTGCGAGCTCAGCTGGACTCCTGGAGAAGCCCCAGCAGTCTTGCAGAGGTCCAGCGCGTGTTGGAGGAACACCAGGAACTCAGAGTGAGCAGCCCAGACCTTGGGGCCTTTCCCAGATCTCATCTCCTCTCTGGCCTCCTCCCCCTTATTGTGACCACAATTTTGTCCTGGGTTCTTTCTGTGTCAGCTGCCTCTGCCTTTCCCCTTGTCCATCCTGCCCCCTCAGTTGTCTTCCCCACCTCTCCTTCCCCTTGACCCTCTTCCCTCCCACTCAGGGAGCCTCAGCCTCTGAGGCTCCTGGGATCTGAGCCCAGTCCTCTTACAGGCCGAGCTGGACTCCCGAACAGACAGCATCAGCCTGGCCCGAAGCACTGGGCAGCAACTGCTTGCTGCAGGGCACCCATCCACCCCCAACATCCGCCAGGCCCTGGCTGGTTTTAATCAGGAGCTGAGCAGCCTGGAAGGGGCCTGGCATGAGCACCAGCTCCACCTGCAGCAGGCCCTGGAACTACAGGTAGGCAGCCTCCATCCCACCCCCACCACTGGTGCCTGTACTAAACCCACTGCCCCTGTTCAAAGCCAAAGCTTGAGAGGCTGCTGTGCCAGGGGCCTCCCCACCACCCAGCACTCATCTCACCCACTGCAAACCTTGCCTGCTGTGACCCTTTCTGCGGGGCCAGGCCCCGGTCCTGGATTCCCACTGGGCCACCAACAGAGTCACTCTTCCTGCCGTGACTGGACCCTCTGCTCACTTTCTCCTGCCTTTTCCTTTCTCGACAGCGGGTTCTGAGCTCCGTGGAGCAGATGGAGAGTTGGCTCTGCAGCCTGGAAGCCTGCCCAGTCAGTGAGGGTCTAGGGGTAGGTGCCCAGCAGGAGTGAGGGAAGGTTTGCAGGAGCAGCATTAGGGATCAAACCAGCCAGTGCTGCCTGAGATTTCCAGTCCAAGGGCAGCTCCCAGCCCTCAAGCCCTGGAAATTCTAACACTTGACCCCTATCCCTCATACCTTTCCTGGTTGAGAATCTAAAGTCAGATATAGCCTGGAGGGATTGGGGGGATGTGTTTGATAGGAAAGCAGGTAGCTGGGGACTGGGAGGGGCAGACCTGTAGACAGTATTGCCTCCCAGGACTCTTTGGCCAATGTGGAGACCCTGCTGTGGAAGCACAGGGTGCGTGAGCAGGACCTGGAGGCTCAGGCGGAGAAGATGAGTGCGCTGGAAGCCACCACCCGCAGCCTGTTCCAGGGCGGACACCCCGAGGCCCAGGGTGCGCTGAGCCGGTGCCAGGCCATGCTCCTGAGGTACCTCTGGCTCAGGCTGAAGGGGCTGTGGTTGGTGGGCTGGCACAGGCATCAGGCTCTTCCCCTGCCCTTCTCCCCTTAGCCTGGGCTCCCCTAGCCTTTACCAGGGGCTGAATTCAGATGCCAGGGCCCCATTGTCCCGACCCTGCGGTGTGTCAGCCTGTTATGGAATCAGACAGCACACGGTCAGTCCACTGAGATAAAGGTGACTTTTACAAAGAAGTACATACTTGAGAAACTGAGAGAGAGACAACCTCATGAAGAGGCCAGACACTGCTGGGTTTCTGTGCAGCCCACTCACGGTGGGTCTTGAGGCCCATTCCTTACTAGTCCCCTGTCTACAGTGAGGGGATAACAATACCTGCCTCTCAGGGTTGTGGTCAGGATGGGGAAGGGACTCTTGATGTCCTGGCACAGTGCCTGGCACACAGGCAGGTTGGCAGATTTCTTACGCCCGTTTAACCGAAGCCCACTTGGCTATGAGTCTCCAATCTCTGCTTGTTTTCCTCGTAAGAGCCTTTATGGTTCAGCAGCCTGTCCAGCCCCTCAGACTTTAGACCAAGGCATATTTGGAAAAAGCTGGATCCCAGATCAGTGGGGGCCTCCATCCTTCCCAAAGAGCTCACTAGGGCCCACAGTGTTGTGGCTCCTGGGCTGGCGCCCTCTTCTCCTCTCCCCTGCACATGGACCTCACCTGGGTACCCAAGGTCTTTGACTGACAGATGGAAAATATTGGTTTGCTGGTCTCTATCAACACTCCCTCCCCCTAGTCCCCTTGGATGGTTCCCAGCAGGCCCAGCTGCACACCCCGGGGCAGTGCCACCCAAACCCCTCCCTTTAAGTCTTCTGGCATCCTCTATGGGGCTGTTTTCATTCCACCAAGACTTTCTGCATCTCTCCTATTCCCCTTACACCTTTTGGCAACCCCAGCAGGAAGAGACAAGGGTTCACATTCACACCAGCGTGGGGACTCTGCTGGTGGGAGGTGTGTATGGGTCCTGGTAGGGTGACTGGGGGTATTAGAACTTCTTTTCCTGTCTCTTTAATAGATCTCATTCCTAATTGCTATTTTTGTTCATATGGTAATAGACTTACTATATTGGTCTAGAGGTATACACATATATAAATCAGTATGTATATGTGTGTGTATGTATATATATCTATACACACACACATACACATGCACCCATACAAATGCATACCAAAAAATTCTTACTAATAGCAGTATATGATCAAAAAGTGGTTTAGACACTCGAATTAGTTTGCGAGGCTGCCATAACAAGATACCACAGACTAGTGGCCTAAACAGCAGAAAATTAATTATATTTCCAGAGGCCAGAAATCCAAGATTAAGATACTGGCAGCACTGGTTTCTCCTGAGGCCTTCCTTGTCATCACACACTCTGCGCATGTCTGTGTCCTAATCTCCTCTTATAAGGACACCAGTCATATTGGGGCCCACGCTAATGACCTCGTATAATTTAATTACTTCTTTAAAGGCCTTTCTTCAAAAACAGTCATATTCTGAGGTACTGAGGTACTTCACCATAAGAGTCTGGAGGACACGATTCAGCTCATAACAGGCACTAATAAGGGGAAACAGAGTGTATCTCTAAAGTTTAAAGGAAACCCCAGATTCAGGGTAAATTGATACACAAGAAAGGCTGTCCTGGTATGGAAGCAACCTGAATGTCCATCAACAGATGAATGAATCGATAAGATGTGGTACATATATACAGCAGAATATTACTCTGCCATAAAAATGAATGAAGCTGGTCATAAGATATTACTCGGCCATAAAAAGTAATAAAAGTGGATGAACCTAGAGTCAGAGTGAAGTAAGTCAGAAAGAGAAAAACAAATATCGTGTATTAATGCATACTTATGAACCTATTTGCAGGGCAGGAATAGAGACACAGACATAGAGAATAGCCTTGTGGACACGGGGAGGGAAGGGGAGGCTGGGACAAATTGAGAGAGTAGTGTTGACACATACATACACTACCATGTGTAAAGCAGATAGCTAACGGGAAGCTTCCGTATAGCACAGGGAGCTCAGCTCGGTGCTCTGTGATGACCTAGCAGGGTGGGGCTGGGGAATGGGAAGGAGGCTCAAGAGGGAGGGCGTATATGCACACACATGTTGTATGTATGTGTACATACAGCATTCATGGACAGCAGAAACTAACACAACATTGTAAAGCTATTATCCTCCAATTTTAAAAAAGCAATTTTTAGAGAATGGGGAAAAGGGCTGTCCTGAACTGGAAGGGCACATTTGTGCGCGTGTGTGTGCATGCATGCACATACACACGTGTAGCAGCTCCAGGTCCCAGCAAGCAGACCTGAGATCCCTGAGACCCTCGTTCTGCAGGAAAGAGGCACTCCTGGAGCGAGCCAGGACCCGTTGCCGCCAGCTGGAGGAGCTCAGGCAACTGCAGTCTTTCCTGCAGGACTCCTGTGAGGTGGGCCATGGTGGGGAGCAGCTGTGATGGGGGGAAGGGGTTGCCCCAGGGGAAAGCCACCCTTCTTCAGGGCAGCCCAGGGATTAGAGAGAAGGAAAGCCCTAAGCAGCAGAGTCTCGTCCTCCCCGTGTGCCCAGATGGCTGCCTGGCTGAGAGAGAAGAACCTGGTGGCCCTGGAAGAGAGCTGGTGGGACCCAGTGGAGCTGCAGTCCCAGTTGCAGCAACAACAGAATCTCCAGGCAGAACTGGACACCCGTGCACACCGCCAGCAGAGACTGCAGATGGTGAGGCCCTGGTGCCGGGGACCGGCTACAGGTCAGAGAAGGAGCTGACCCCTGGCAGCTGGCCCCGAGTCACAGCTGGGGTGGCCAGCTTTTGAGTACATTGTATACAGATGCCATGCAAGGCACCAAAGGGTAGTGAGACACAGTGGCTTACCTGGGGCCCCCCTCTCCAAAAATATTGCCTTTTCAAGAATTTTAAGGGTAGTGTTTTGGCGTGATAGTTTTAAAAGTTCTTGGAAAGATGTCAGAGGACAGAGTCAGGGCACAGCCAGCAGTCCTGTGGGTATAGGAGTCAAAGAATAGCACCTTTTAAATTTACCCTCTTCCACCTACAAAGAGCATGCCCTGATCCCAGACTGCCTCCCTCTGATATAGAGTGCCCTACCAAGTATCTGAAATGTTTGATCCCATTTAAACAAAATACCCATGATTATCACCATTATATGGATAAGGAAAATGAGCTCAGAGAGGTTAAGGAATTTTCCTGAGATCACACAGCTAGCACACAGACTCTGAAGCAGTGGGACTGGTGGCTAAAGGCAATCCCAGTGCCCTGAAACCAGCAGTCCTGAGTCCACGAGGCATGTCCTATGTTGTGGCTGTAGGAGGGGCAGAGGCTGCTGCAGGATGGCCACTCGGCCTCAGAGACCATCCAGGAGCGGCTACAGGAGCTGAGAAAGCTATGGGAAGAGCTGCAGGCCCAGTGCCAGAGGAGGGCAGCCAAGCTACAGGAGGCCCGTGAGGTGAGGCTGTGTGGCAGAGCGGGCTGGGTACAGCTCTCGGCCTCTCCTCCTCACACTTTCATTCTGCCCCAGGCCCTGCATCTGCGACGGAGCGTGGAGGAACTGGAGAGCTGGCTGGAGCCTGTGGAGCTCAAGCTGAGAGTCCCCATCGGGGGCCCAGACCAGCCTGGGCTGGACAAGCTCCTGGGGGCTCAGGGGGAGCTGGAGGCAGCAGTGGACAGGCAAGTCGGGCGGGCACAGGCCCTGCTGGGCCAGGCCCAGGCCCAGGCCTGTGTCCAGGAAAGCCACTGCCTGGCCCAAGATGTGGAAGAGCAAGCCCAGTGGCTGCTTCAGAGGTAACCCCTGCCCCTCCTCCCTGTCCCCCAGCTCAGCTCCTCAGGGCCTGCCCAGCCCATGGCGAGGGACACAGAGCGGGTGAGCAGTGTGTGGGTCACAGTCTGGCCCCCGATCCTGACAACCGGGGTCCCGCCTGCTGTGGGCCCGCCCTCCACTGCTGCAGGTTCGAGAGCCTGCGGGTGCCCCTGCGGGAGCGCAGGACAGCCCTGGAGGCCCGGAGCCTGCTGCTGCAGTTCTTCAGGGACGCCGACGAGGAGATGGCCTGGGTGCAAGAGAAGCTGCTCCTGGTGGCCACCCAGGACTGTGGCCAGAGCCCGAGTGCCCTGCGGCGCCTGCAGGAGAAGCACCAGGTGTGGGCCTAGCGGGGGAGGCGGGGCTGTCCACAGTCGCCTCTGGTTCTGGGAGCTTCTGCCTCCAGGAGGTTCTGGGGGTCCTAGGATTCTTTGTTGGTCAGGAGGCAGGGTTCTGTCTGGGGGAATCTGTGGGGTCCCACTGGGCTTCAGACATGACTCCCAGGTCCCCCAAGGAGCACCCAGGAGCATGTCCCACGCCACCTTCCTCTGACTCCACAGAACCTGGAGAGTGAGATGAGCAGCCACGAGGCTCTAACCCGGGCGGTGGTGGGCACAGGGCGCAAGCTGGTGCAGGCTGGGCACTTTGCTGCCCGAGATGTGGCAGCCCGTGTGCAGCAGCTGGAGGACGCCATGGGCCGCCTGCGGGCAGAGGCTGCACAGAGGCGTCGGCGGCTACAGCAGGCTCAGGAGGCCCAGTCCTTCCTGACGGAGGTAAGGGGTGCTGCGCGGCACGAGAGGGTGGGCATGAGGAACCCAGAGTGTAGGCAGGCCTGGGACGTCACCTGCAGGTGGGGCTCTAGGCTCTCTGTGCATTTTCTGTCACCTCCACTACGTGGTCTCCAGACCCCGAGGTCTTCCTTCAGTATGTTTCCCAGAAAATGAGCCCACTGGCTTTGGTTTGGTTTGGTTTCGCTGTTTTGTCTAAGCCAGCGATTCTCAATCAAGGCTCTACATCTGCATCACCTGGAACTATTAAGCAGTGCTGACACTCAGCTCCATTCCAGACCAAACCAGAATCTTACGGGGTGAGAGAGAGGCAGAGCGAGTTGTTCAAGCTCTCTGGTGATTCTCACCAGCCAGGTTGGGAACCACTCACTGCTATAATTCTTGAGGCATGAACTCAAAGATGTGAGTCCTGGAGGGCACCGCCTAGGGAAAACTGTGCTCTTTGTCACCCTAGCTCCTGGAGGCAGAATCCTGGCTAGAAGAACGGGGCTGTGGCCTGGACATCAAGGATATGGGTCAGAGTGCTGAGGCCACACAGGCCTTCCTGCGGCAGCTGGAGGCCACCAGGAGGGACCTGGAAGGATTCACCACGCGCATTGAGAGGCTGCAGCAGACAGCAGCCCTCCTTGAGAGCGGGCAGAACCCAGAAAGGTGCGCTGGAGCCAGGCCCAGGAGGGAGGAGCAGGGAGGGGCCCCTCTAAAGAGGTGCAAGGCCTAAGAGCTCCAGGGGGGTTATCTTTCCTGCTGCAGCCCCAAGGTGCTTGCCCAGATGCTTGCGGTAAGGGACGCCCACTCAGGGCTGCTGCAGAGAGCAGAGGGCAGGGGGCAAGGCCTGAGGGAGCAGCTGCAGCTCCACCAGCTGGAGCGGGAAGCCCTGCTCCTGGATGCCTGGCTGGCCAACAAGGTGGCCACTGCTGAGTCCCAGGACTATGGGCAGGACCTAGAGGCTGTCAAGGTGAGTCACTCCTGAGTGAACCTGGAAGAGAGGAGATTGAGTGGCTCTCAAGGGCAGAGTGGGGTTGGGGGGCACATGGGAAGTGAGGGGTCTCTGGGCTCTGGGAGGACCCCCTGCAGTTCTAAGGGCAGGGCCAAGGGATATCAGAAGTGGCCAATACTGCCAAGTCCTTCGTCAGCTTTGAGGGTTGCTGGACACCACCTCCAGAATGACCTCCCTGGTCCTGTATCCTGCAGCTGCTGGAAGAGAAGTTCGATGCTTTCAGAAAGGATGTCCAGAGCCTGGGGAAGGCTAGGGTGCAGGCCCTGAGGGAGCGGGCAGACTCCCTGGAACGGGCAGCACCCAGGTGCTCTCCCCAGATTCAAGCACAGAGGAGTCGCATTGAGGCCTCTTGGGAGAGGTTGGATCAGGCGGTGAAAGCCCGCACACAGGTAGGTGCCCCTGGGCCCGGTAGGGGCAGACAAGGGGCAGGGACATCTGTGCCTTCTTCCTGGGCCAGGGCCAGGCAGCCACGCCAGGTGTGTGTGTGTACGTCTTTGTGGGGCGGGAGGTGGCTGCCTCTAACTCTGTGTGTGCACGCGTGCATGATGTGTGCATGCCTCTAACTCCTAGTGGCAAGCAGATCAAGTCTCAGTCTTCCACCTCCAGCCCTCTCTGAGTTTCTCCACTGATTTGGTTCTTCCTGGTATAGTTCACACTTCCAAGGAGAAATAGGGAGCCTGTCTGGCCAGGTCTTGACCCCCTCTAAGCTCCCTCAAGCGCAAACTTCAGGTTTATTAAGACACAGACTAACTGCGCAAGATTTTGCCACCACTTCCCTCTCCTCATCTAAACGTTCTGAGCGGATTTGGGTGCCAAGGAAATCTCAGTGCTCCTCCACAACCTTCACTCTCAGCCACAGCTGGTGATTTCTAGGGAGGCATCCCAGGTCCCCGAGGCCCTGACAGAGCCCACATCCTAGCGATGCTCTCACTCAGGGTCCTGGCTGGGCAGACTCCTAAGGCAACCCTCTTCATCTCAGCCAGATCCCCAAAACCACCCTCCTCCCCACCATGGACTCATTCCCACCTGATTCCTAGTCCCCTGTCCCCCCACCTGGCTCATGAACTGGGCACTGACGACCCTGTCCCCACAGAACGCCCCCAGGGCCCTACCCCATCATCAGTAACGTCATGCGCTCATTGATCAGGGGCCATATTGGGACATTGTCTGTACCCGGTGTTAATGAATGCATCACCAAGCCCCATGGACCTCCATGTTTGGGGGCCACTTCTCTAGGGAGAGAGGACCCTGGTGAGAGCAGGCCCTCCCTCTCTTCCCAGAACCTAGCTGCCACCCGTGAGGTCCGAAGCTTGGAGCAGGCAGCAGCTGAGCTCCAGGGCCAGATGCAAGAGAAGGCCATCCTGGTGGCTAGAGATGCCTGCGACCTTAGCCTGTTATCAGTGCAGACTCTGCAGCAACAGCACAGATGTCTAGAGGTAAGGGTCAACCCCCAGGGCCTGCCCACATGACCTCTTTCCCTGCATAGGGGGACCCCAGAGTTGGGAAGGGAAGGGAGGGCCTCCTTGCCCAGGTCGGGGAGCTGTCCATCCGGAAGCAGAGCCTGACTCCTCAGGATGGCTGCTTCCTGAAGAGAAGTGGGCATCGGGTTGTGGGGGAATGAGGCTGATTCTGTGTTCTAGTGGCAGAGGGAACTGGCAGCGATGGAGAAGGAGGTGGCACGGGTGCAGACGGAGGCCTGCCGGCTGGGCCAGCTCCACCCTGCAGCTCAGGAGGGCCTGGCCAAGCAGCTGGCCGGGGTGCAGGAGGCCTGGGCCACCCTGAATGCAAAGGTTTATGAGCGAGATCGGCAGCTGGAGGAGGCTGCCCAGGGCCACGCCTTCCTCAGACGCTGTCGGGAATTGCTGTAGGTGGCATCCGGTCGTTGGCTCAACTCTGCCCTGCAGGGTGGGGGTCACCCCGTCCCCCAGTGCAGCTCATGCCCTGCCTGCCACCCCCAGTCTGCACCCCTGACCCTGACAACAGCTTCCCCTCCTCACCCCGCAGAGCATGGGCCACAGAGAAGCAGGCCCTGGTGTCCTTGGAGGAGCTGGCTGGGAATATAGCTCGGGCCGAGGGGCTCCTGGCATTGCATGAGGAGCTGGGGAGAGAAATCAAGGAGTACAGCCTTCAAGCCCAGAACATACAGCAGGAAGGGCAGCGGCTGGTGGACAGTGGCCACTGCATGTCCCTGGAGGTGCGAGCACAGTGACGAGTCGGGCTGAGCTGGGCACTCAGCCCCATTACCCCAGGCCTCAGAATCCCCGAGCAGGAGGAGAAGGCCAGGCAGGGGGCAGAGAGAGGGGGAGAGACCGGGAGGGTCTGGACCTCATGGTCTTCCTTCGACACGTCTGCTGGGCACTCCAGCCTGGCCCCACCCTGTGGGCGTCTCACCCACGACACCCTCTCCCACCAGGTAACTGGGTGTCTGCAGGATCTGGACAGACAGCTGCGGGCACTCAGAGAGGCCTGGGCCCTGCGCCGGGAACGCTGTGAGGAGAGCTGGCATCTACAGAAGCTGCGGCAAGAGCTGGACCAGGCTGAGGCCTGGCTGGCCTGCCGGGAGGGCCTCCTGCTGGACCCCAACTGCGGGGTGAGCCAATGCCCTGCCCCTTAGCTGGCCATGCCCGCGCTCTCTAGCAGCTACAGCCCACTCTTCCTCTCCCTGGCCCCCAGGGTTGGTTTTCAGGGAACAGCTCTCTTCACCCCCTCGGGCAGGGCCTCACCCTGGCTCGCTTCTCCCCAGCACTCCGTGTCTGATGTGGAGTTGCTGCTCTGCAGACACAAGGACTTAGAGAAGCTGCTGGCCTCCCAGGAAGAGAAGTTTGCCCGACTGCAGCAGGAGGCAGCGGTGAGCAGAGGCTGGGGTGAGGGGGCACCGGGAGACAGGGGTGTCCTGTCTCAGCCTGAGGGTTGGGCTCCCCCCAGGCACTGAACCAGCATTTGGCCCTTGGGGAAAGCCCTGTTCTTTCCCTTGCCAGCTGCAGGGTCCTGTCACCCCACATCTGGGTGGGCTGGGCCACAGTATGGACTGGGAGAAGAGAGGGGTCTTCTGAGCTTGAAGAGATGAACAGTGAGGAGACAGGCACTCTCTCTGGGTGGGAGGGATGTGGGGAGAGGCTGGGGTGTGGAGCCCCCAGAGCCTGGTCTGACTCATCTGGCTGCTCCCCTCCCCAAGGTGGACCAGAAGCAGCAAGTGAAGGGGCTGAAACCCTCGGGAAGCTGGTGGCCCAGAGCACAGCTGACTGAGACAGGGGACCCGCAGCCATCTGTCCCCACTGGATCTTGCATACGCTTCACCACCGTTTCCCCGGAGTGCACAGCAGGGACCCTGGGGGTAAGGAGTCCGCAGTCTGAGCCAGCACTGCAACACCAGGGGGTCTGTCTCCAGGGATGAGAAGGTCGGAGGCGGTTAGGTGCCTCACCCACTTTCAGAGAGGGCCCCGTTGTCTGTGCTGCTCTTGTTTCCCAGGCCCCTTCTTGCATTTTCAGGATGCAAAGGGTGCCCCCACCATGGAGGGAATTTTGGAACTTAAGCACCAGCTCTTGCCTGGGAGGAGGCAGGTGAGTACCCAGAGATCGCTTCCGCAGCAGCTGCCCTGCAAGAGCCACGCAAGGGCTCAGAGGGCCCTGGGGGGCAGCTGAGCCTGCTCCAGGAGGAGGGTGGGTGGGCAGAGGACAAAGAAGGGCCCCCAGGGAAAAGCAGAGATGGTAACATTCCCCCACCCCTCCTCAGAACATGGCTTCTACAGCTTCCCTCGACCTCACAGGAGCTGGTGAGAAGCCGGGCGATCACCATGATGGAAGACATAACTTTTCCTTAAGGTGAGGGCCCTGTCGGGGGAGAGACCCCGGGCCCGGGACAGGCTCAGCCTCCAGGAGCAGCTGAAGGGGCTGAAGGCAGGGGTCCCCACACACGCAGGAGGCAGAGTTTGACGCATTACTGTCTGGGTGGCAGGCTGGCTGCGGGAGAGACCCTGTCTGCAGCGCCACCTGCAGGGCAGACTGGGAGCTGGCGGGGCGCCCTGAGCAGCTGGGCAGGTAGGTCCAGGGGAAGCGGGGAGGGGAGCGGGGGGCCCTGGTTTCCTGGGCCCCCAGCTGCTGGTGTTTAGTGCATCCTTGGATGTTTAACATCTAACCTCTGTGCCTGAGGTTAGTGGGAGTGCCTTTTTTCTTAATTTGAGGCCCAGAGAGGGTAAGCAACTTGCCAGAGATGACATAATTAGAAGCGGGGCCAGGTTTGATCCACTGATGGCCTCCTGGTTCTGTTCCACCCACTGTGGAGTCGGACTCCCAGAGCCCTTCCCTCAAGGATCTTCACGGGCTTCCCCATGCTCTTCTCTGGCACAGGTCTTTTCTGCCCTAGTCTTCTTACAGCTCTGAACGCACCTCCCTTGGGGTGTCTTATAGACAGTGGCCAGGCCCAGTTCTACTCTTGGAAGGGCTCAGAGAGCACCCTTTGGACCAGAAATCTATTGTCATGGTGATCCGACAGGCTCCACATGGAGGGGTTGCTTAGGGGCCTCACTTCAGACTCTTTCCGGGTTCCTGGCTCTGTTCCACTGGGATCTCCCTGAGGCCGTCCTTCCAGAATTCCAAAGGAACTTGAGTTTCTCCAGGATAAGCCATTCTGAACCCATTGGCATTCAGTCTTCCAGGAGGCTGGATGCACTGGGGAGCCTGCCCCTGAGCCCTGGGCCTGGGCCGCACCTCCACATGGGCAAGGCTTGGTGTATGCCAAGCCTCCAAAAGCAAGCGTCTCTGAGACTGTCTGGGCTGCTCTAACTAATCGACGACAGACTGGGTAGGTTGTGAATAGACATTTATTTCTCACAGCTCTGGAGGCTGAGAAGTCCAAGATCAGGGTGCTGGCAGGTGAGAGAGGTTGCAGGAGGCACCTTCTCGCTGGCTTCTTATGGTGGAAGGGGCAAAAATACTCTCTGGGTCTCTCTTTAAGGGTTCTACCCTCAAGGCCACAGCTCCTCCTCCCAGCACTGTCACCTTGAGTTGGGACTTCAGGCCATGGCAAGAAGGAAGGGGCAGGTGTGGAGCCTGCTGCCACAGATGTCCTAGCACCCAGGCCAGCCTGACCACCATTCCCCCTTTGCTCCGCAGCCCCCAGTCTGAGCCCAGAGCTCCAAGCCAGACCCTCGGGCTTCCTGGCCGAGCGCAGTGCTGAGAGGGTACCTGGCATGCCAGCTCCACTCAGGTAGGCCTCCTGGATCTGTAAGTGGGAGTCCTGAGGTCCTAGGACTTAAACTATGCTGCTTGGGTGCAGGGCCACCCCCACCCACTCTCAGTAGTGGCAAGAGTCTACACCTGAGGCTCCCTGTCCCCACAGATTCCACAGCGGTCCCCCGCCCGCCTGGCTGCAGGAGATGAGAGTGTGCACCTACAGCTACCCACAGCCCACGGGGCTCCCACAGACAGCTGGCCCCACACAGCAAACTGCAGAAGGCTCCCGCCAACTGTCCTGCTCAGGCCAGATCCATGGTGAGTGAACCTGGCTTCCCTCTGCACATGCCAGGAAGCCTGCCTGACACTCACACCCCCTCCCTCCCTCTCCAAGATGCAGCGGCCAGACCCCTCCTGCACTCTTTCCCTGCCTCCATCCTCCCTGGTTTTCCCCAGTCCAAGGACCAGCTCCCTGCAAGCAGGGAGGGGAGGAGCCTTACTGTCCTAGAGAGGCTGGGAGTCAGGATGTCACCCAGACACACGCCCACGGACCAGACATACACACACAGACAGTGCACAGACCCTACACGCGGCCTTGTGCCTGAGGGATCACTCACATCATGACAGGGGTGGCAGCCATAATTGTGGTATCTGGATAATTACCCACTCCTGCAGGGCCTACAGGTTCCCATGTAGGATTCAGATGATGTGCTGCTGAGTAAACAGGCCTGGTCCAGGACACAGTGGCTTCTACAGTGATCAGGGCAGCCATTTTTCCTGGTCTGTGCCTCCAGTCACACACCCAGGGCAGACAGATGCAGTGAGCCGGATCATGGGAACCAGTCATCCCCCTTTCACCCCCAGTATCCAAATCCCACATCAACATGAGGAAGAGGTGAGGTATTCCAAAGGAGGCCTGGGGCACCAGTGCTTGGAAAAGATTCTAGGGCGGCTAGGCCCTAAATTCACTCCACCTCTCTGTTCTCCTGACAGGTCCAGGCCTTGAAGCAAATGCAGAGGTGGCACCAAACTTCAGAGCTACAAGCGAGGACACCCTCGAGGGAACCAGGAGACCCACCTATCCGGCCCCTTAGGACAAACTTCTGGACTAGCTGGCTCCTCATCCGGAGATGGGCCCCACCAAGGTCAGAGCCTGCTGAAGTCACACCCTTAGCACTGTCTATCTGGCTCATCTGGTCCCACGTCTGGTCGCCCCTACTGTGGGACAGGAAGCAGCCCTTCGACTGAGTCCCCGGGTGAGGAGGATGGGGTGCTGGCTGGCATTACCTGTGAGTCATCTGGGCAGGGCCAGGGCTGCAGCAGCAATATGGCCTCCTCTCTGCTTGAAGAGAGTGAGCTTGGGTGGAGCAGACACGGCCATGAGCTCACAGCCTGCTCTGCAAGGCGCCGCGGGAGAGGTTTTGTTTTCTACACCCATCCTTACCATGCCTAACCAAGAGGGGGAATGACCTGTCCCTTTTTGGCAGCAGTAACAGTAATCTGTCACACCTCTTGTTTGTATGCGTCTCTGTGATACGTAAAGTGCTCTATTTCACCCTGTACAGCTACTCGAGGTAGCAAGGAAGCAAAAGGACACACAGGTCATGGGGCTCCGTGTGCTTACACAAATATGGCCCACACTGCCCAGAACCTCTGAATCTTCTCTGGCCACATCCTGCAGACCAGGCCATAGCCCCTGTTTAAAACCCTCCACCTACCCCAGGGTGTCCACAGCAGGGGTGCTGGTGAATTCAGTGTCTGGATAGTGCCAAGCAGTGCACCCTGGTGAGCCCCTCGGAGGGCTGGAGACCACAACTGGGCTGTCCAAACCGCTAGAGGTTGTGGAAGCTGGTGACCACCCCAACTCAACCAGAGTAGCAAGGCAGCCAAGAAGTGAGCCTTAAAGAGAGTCGGGGGCCGTGGGGCCGGACGTGGCCCCTTCCCGCCCATCACTCGGGCCGGCGCTGTGTGCGCTGCCTCCGCCTCTGCACAGCCTCACGCAGGGCCTCCAGCAGCCGCTCCTGGTTGTTGCAAATGTTGTACTGCGTCAGGCGGAGCAGCTTGTCCACATCTTCCAGGCTGTAGGTTACCTTCGAGTAGTGGTAGGGAGAGTCGGATGCAGATAAGTTCACCTCCCCAGCTGCCTGCTCCTCAGCTGTCCGCCGGACCCCTGTGGGGAGAGTGCAGCCCGGCCATGGGGGATTCCCGCTGGGGGTGGAGGGTGGGCTTGGGGGTCACCTGGGGGGAGACACAGAGGAGGGAGGTTTTGGCTCACCGGGGGCAGAGTGGTCCCTGAAGGAGGCGTTGACCAGAGGGAAGTGCAACACGGCAGGGATGTCGGGGCGGGTGGGGTCCGAGAAGAGGTGGCACTCTTGGGGCTGGCGCTGCTCCTCAGGGCTGGGTGAGATGGGCGGGAACGGGATGCCCTGCTCCTGGCAGAACCGACCCAGAAGCTGCAGCTGCTGCAGGGTGGGCAGAGGTGGGCTCAGCAGGAGGGCCCCATGGGCTCCCAGTGTCCTCCACACTGGATGGACTACAAGTAGAGGTCTGCTAAGACACCAAGTCAGACACTAGTGAACCCAACAGGCCAGAGATCAATGCTCTAAACCGAGCAGCCCTTCTGCGGCAGCTCCTTTGGGCTCAATGAAGCTGGGCTGCTAACAACCCCCAGGTTCTGCCCCTGGGAGGCAAAAATCCTTCCTGGAACCCACATAGAAACTCTAAAAAGAGTCTCAAAGATCCAGGACCCAACAGGGGTGCAGACACAACAAAGGAGACCCAAATAGGAAATACGTTTTAAAACCTTGCCAGCTTCCCCATCACTCCATCTTCCTGAGCAGAGTAAGTTCCCCAGGGAGAGAGTTCATAGAATCCACAGCCTTTCATTCATGCGGTGTTGCGGTCACAAAGGGAAGCTGGCCCAGAAACCGGACTCCAAAGCAGGTCTCTCCGGAGTCAAGATGTCAGACCACCTGAGGTCGGGCCTAGGGTTGCCCCACCTCCCAACCCTGGCCACAGCCCACCTGGAAGGCTCCATGGAGATTGTAATCTAGCGACAGGATGAGGTCCACGTCCCGTGTGGGCGGCAGGAGGGGTGGGCAGCTGGTATTGACAAGGTAGCCAACATCCAGTAAGCAAAGGTAGGGCTCTGCAGGTGTCAGCTCGTTGGGGAGGCCGTCCAGCTTGGTAGCTGGAAAGGTTAGGGGATCGGGTGGGGAGCAGCTGTCACTGGTGCTAAGAGCACCAGCCCGTCTAGCCTAACGTTGCTGCTAAGAGGAGGCTCTTCCCTCTGCCTCCTGCTCTCTGCTGTCAAAGCAGAGCCTCAACTCCCGAGGTCCCACAGATGGGCCCTGACCCCAGCATAAGGAGAGGAAGAGTGGCTCTCGCTCCAAGTAACCCAGACAACTGAGCTCAGAGGGCGTGGGACCGAGGGACTGGAGAGAGTGGATGTCTGATCAGGAACCCAAGGCTCAGATGGCCATGGGAAGATCTGGGAGAGCAGGGAGCAGGGGGAGAAGAGCAGGTACCTTTCCAGGCAACAAAGTGAGGATGCTGAAAATAGTCCTTGTGGAAGGAGAAGCCACGTAGGAAATTGTGGGTGGCCTGGGCAAGTGGACGCCGCGTCAAAAGGTCAGTGAAAACCTCTGCTATCCTGCCAGCCACCGTGGGAGGCTCTTGTATCTTCAGAAGGGGGACCTGCTCCTTGTCTGCAGTTGAGAAGAGGGTACAAGGGGACTCTCAGACCTTTATTCCAGCCTCTGCAGACGCACAAAGGTCTGAAAGCCACCCCACATTCCCCACAAGCTGCCTCTCCCATCCTGGTGAAAGAACCCAGGCACCTACCCAGGCTGACCCGAGCTTGTGCCCAGCGGTCCCAGAACTGGCTGGGCTCGGATGACCAGTACAGGCTGTCCTGGAGGTTGGCTGCATACAGGTTGCTCCAGATACCTGAGCGGGAGACCCAAGAGGAAGAGAGTCCCCCACCTCACCACAACCTGACCCCACCACCCACCCAGGGCCAGGACATGACTGAGCCGAGACCGTCAACCCCACCATCTTGCCCAGGCCCATTCTCCCCAAGTCCCCAACTTCTCCCACCCCGAAGACCCCCTCACCTTCCAGGAAACAGATGCGGGACTCAGGAAGCTGTTTTGTCAGGCGCCCCATGAAGAACTCAGAGCCAAAGAGCTCGGGGGGGATGAAGGCGCCATACTTGGGAAAGCCGACCTCGTAGGGGGAGAACTCACACCACTCTGTGAAGAGCCACACGCCCTCACAGAGGGGCCCAGAACCTGAGGACTCTCAGGCCCAACACACCCACCACGGGCCCCGCGTCAGGCAGCCTTGTGACCAGGAGGCTCAGCTCTGTTGCTGGCACCCTGGGTGAGGACCCACGGCCCCGGCCTCCGTCCCAAAGCCTTAGTGACTCTGGGGGGATGACAGGCTCTTGGCCCAGCAGAGGGGGGTGTAACGCCCACCTTTACGAACAGGCTGGGCTGCCTCTCACTCCGCCAACTGTGAGAGCATGGGTCTCGGCTCCAGCACTACTCACCCCCAAATTCAAAGGTGGTCAGATTCTGCTCCTTGGTGTTGAGAGCACAGTAGATGGGCATGGGGTTCTGGCCTCGACTCAGGGCCTCCCGCTGGTCTGAGAGCTTGTGGTCATGAGGCTGGGGGAAGGGAATGAGAACTTAATGCCATGGTCTCCTGGGGCCTCTCCTGCCCCCTACTGCCCAGAGCTGCTCCCCATCTCCAGATGGTGCCCTGGCTTTGGCCACCCCACCCTGCCCTGCTCCTGCCCCTCCCCACACCTCATCATGTAGCAGCGCCTCATTGATGAGGGCCCACAGGTTGGTGAAGCAGGTCGGGTGGCCCAGGCGGGCGCGCTCAGCCAGCTCCTGCTGGTACCGCAGTAGCTTCCCGGGGGCTAGCACGCCCAGCTTGTTCTTGGTCACCTGGGTCTTCAGTGACTCGATGGGCCCTGCCAGGTCCTTCTGAGACCACTCTGGATCCTCGTAGAGGTTGGCCAAAGCCCTGGGAAAAGCCAAAGTCAGAGGGATTGTCACCGGAACCCCACTGCAGCAGCTGGAAAGACACCTTCCACAGTCCCCGGAGCACCTTTCCAACTGGGTCAGAGAGGCCTGTGGAGTTTGATAGAACCTTACCACCCCCGCTCCTGCCATAGCCCAGCTAGCCACCTGTAGGCTCTGGCACTCAAGCTTACCATGTGGAGCCCGAGGCCCCCGTGATGTAGGAGACACAATCCAAGAGGCCAAGCGCCTTTAGGCCAGCCAGCTGCCCATACAGTGAGGTCATGGCCCGGATACCACCACCGGTGGCCATAACAGCAACCACTGGGATCTAGAAGAGAAGACAACGGGGCTCGAAGAGGCCCTAGCGAGAGGGAAGGGTCAAGCCACAAGAAGAGGCGGTAGCAATCCAAGGGACCACTCAGCACACCCACAGCTCAGCCTGGTCAAGATCTAATTGGAGTTCCTGGGACCAGTTCTAGTCAGACCTGCTGAAGAAGCTCTAGTCAGAAGTAGGCTTGCAAGGGTCAGGCCTGTCTGGTTTTAAGAACTCAGAAAAAATGGACAGGTTCCAAGCTTCATCTCCACACCTAACCCCTAAGGAGTCTGGTGATTACTTTCTTGAAGCCCCAGGGTCACCCCAAAAGTCTCCCACATAGCCACTCCACTCCCTCTTTCAGGAAGAGGTCATTTCCCTGGGAGCGGCCCCAGTCTGCCCTGAACTTCCAGGGACTGCCCCAGGCCAGCAGGGGGCCCCAGGCTGTACACCTCACTGCTCAGTCACCCGGAGCCTAGCCTCAACACCTGGACCAGGCCAAGGACCAAGAACAACAAGAAGGCAGGTTAGCCCAGTAGGGAAGCTCACAGGCTCCTGGTGACTCAGGCCATGCTCTGCATTTAACGCAATCAAGCTCCTGACAACATCAAATGCAGGAGGCAGAGCAGGCCTGGCACCAGTGCTGTCTGGGTAGGGCACATCCAGTGCCAGCATCCAGCACTGGGCTCTGGGCCCAAAGACACGCCCCTAGTCCCACACAGTCCCCAGACCTCATCTTCCCGCAGGTCTCCATCCAGCTGCAGGGCCTGCTGCAGGGCCTTGGCCACCACCTGCTTCCTCCTGCTCAGGAAGGCCTGCTCCTCAGCACAGGGCCCGCAGCCCAGCCGCACAGCCAGTTCCCTGGGTCTGGTGGGAAGGAAGGGAACATGAAGCAGCTCCTGGGCTCATCAAAGAATGACGCTGGGCCTGTCCTGGAAAGCTCACCACCATCCTTCTCACCTCTCTTCTCCCCAACCCTTGCCCCACCTCTAGTGTCCTGACTGACGGATGATGTGTGGATGTGAGGGGAGAAGGCGACCCCAGACCCTGGTGGGGACATCCCTGGGGAAGCAGCACTGCAGAGTCACAGACCAGGAAAGCAGTGGGACCCAACACCATCAATCTGCTTCCACCTCTCAGCCTCTCTCCCTCACCCACCCAGAAATGGCTCCAGAGGGGGCAGAAATGATGTTCCCTCCTCTCCCTGGTGGGAGCTGGCCTCTCAGGCCTGCAGACGACCAGTGTGGGTGACTCTGCCCATCTCCTGCAGCTCAGCTGAGGCCCGCCCACAACAGCTGCCCAAAACGGGCGTGACTACCCTTCTCTGGGCTTTCTTGCCCACTCTGCACCTCTAACCACTCTCCTGGCTTCCATCTGCTTTCCCAGCCAAGCATTTACCAAGTGCCTCCCAGGTGCCAGGCACCAAGCTAGGTACACACCCCTCTGGCTGAATCAGAAATGAGTGTAAAAAGTCAGCAAGAGCCGTCATCGGCCAAACCTCCCACACCTCACATGCCACAGTGGGAGCAAACCCCTGAGCCTCTGAGAGAACTATCAGTGGCCTGTCCCGCTAGGGCCTGCCCTGTGTCCCCTCACTCCTCCAGGCTGAGTGCCCGGCAGCTGTCCCCCGTGACTCTTCCCAGTGCCCAGGTGGCCTCTCACCCTTCTTCATTTTTCAGCTCCACTTTCATCAGGGGCTCCTGAAAACCATGAACACTCCAGTCATGAAGATGGGCCACCCCACTCCCCTCATCCCAGCCCCATTCACATCCTATGATAGCCCAATGCTCCCTTGGGCCCCAGCCATCTCCACAGGGGCCAGGCCTGAGGACCCCTCTCCCTTAGCCTGGCCCTTGTCCAGGGCGGGGGCCAAAGACAGGAGCTGCTACAGCAGGACAGGTCTTCAAGGCCTGGGCCCACAATGTGCATCTGGCTTTCTTCCTCCGGTGACCAGTACCTGGGATGTAGGGAAGACGAGTCGCACCACTTGGCCAGAAGGCAGGGCCCTCAGGGGCACCTTCAGCTGCTCCTGGGGGGCATCCTGCAGGGAGGATGAGGACCTAAGACTCTCTACCCTTCCATCCCAGCAAGGCCTCACAGATTGCCCTAGGGGTGACCCAGAAGCAGCAGGAAGGGGACAGGAGGCCAAGGTCGCCCCACACCTCTCAGGGTGCCTGGCTGCCGGGGGAGCCGGGAGAAGCTGAGGGTGAGCACAGAGATGGCACCCAGGCTGAAGCGGGCACTACCTGCAGGTGAATACTCAGCTCCTGCTCCCAGCAGGCCGGCCAATGGAAGCGGAAGGAGCCGGCGCCCACAGAGGCCTCCTGTGGACCCTCACAGGACCCGTGAACCACAAGCTGAACTCTGCCCTCTGACTCTGGAAACAGGAACCAGAGCAGAGAGGCTGGGAATGTGATCTCAGCCCACAGAGGCCCCTGTCTCACTTAAGAGGTCTGGAGTTGGGGTGAGGGCACGTCCCTCCCCCTACGAGATGGTGGTCTGGCCCAGAGCTAGGATGGAAGATGGGCCCCACTGCAGCCCTCTGAGGACTGAGGGGAAAAGCCCAGTGGGGATGCATCCTCTGCCCCCTGCTCCTGACTGAGAGTTGGAGGCGACGAATACAAGATCCGCTCAGAAAGGGGATGACAAAGGCTGAGAGCCGGGGCGGGG